GACGACGACGTGTAGTTAAAACGCTTTCTGTGTATATATAAGTGTGATTCGGTTTTCGGCGTGGGTGTTTTCCTATCTGCTTTTCCTCTCTTCGGTGCGCTGGCTAAAATCTTTCATGCTAAGTTTGGTTCAAACGGAAATGAATCAGAGTAGAGCTGCTCTCAAGTTACAAGTTCGGATCGATCGGACACACTACGGACTATGCTGAATACAGATTTCTTTGACTCATTGCTGTAAGTAGTTTCCCCGATAAATCTGGTTGGTTGTTTTAGTAAGCTAATATAAATCACGATAGTATGGCCACGCTTCGTCGCGGACCGCCCTGACTGATGTTGTCCATTGAGGACCACTTCTTGATCCCGTTCTTGAGCGCCTCGGCGGTCACCTTGTCCTGCATTACCCGCGACATGGCCTCCAGCTTCTGGGCGCGCTCCTTCGACAGCGGCTCCGTGGGGAAGTTGAGCTCGTTGGCTTCGGCGAGCGTTCGCAGGTCAAAATAGTATTTGGCATACACCGAGGATGGTACATTTATGTTGAACTGCAGCAGCTCGAGGAACTGGCGCTCCAGCTCGTTCATGTCCTCCACGGTGATGTCTTTGAGTATCTGGCAGTAGTCCACGTTCCATACGGCTTGATCGTCCCACACTTTAGAGGCTAGGAGAATGGCTCCTATTTTTTAAGAGAAAAGAATTAAGTATTTCTATCGTCCTATAGAAACCCCATCCATCTTACCCAACACCATGCGCTTCCAGTTGCATGGACCCACGTCCAGCTCTGCGTAGGTGAGCAGCCGCTCCAGGTAGACTAGCGTGATGATCGCACACTCGGCCGTCAGCTGAGCGGCATTGAAGAGTGTTCGTACAAACTTGTAGATCTGACGGTGCTCTGGATTGTGCGTATCATAGTTATCCGGCACTGGGTCATGAGTCAGCGGATGGAGCTTCTCGTCGAAGATGTCCAGCCGTCGGTCCGACTGCCGGTTCTTGATGTGATAATAAATAGCCAGGGAGACGCACTTGACGGTGTTCTTCAGATTCGGCTGAGACACGGTGCTGTCGTCCAAATAGATGGTTGAGCAGGAAGAGCTCTTCTTCATGCCCCCACCGCCGCCGCAACTTGTGCCTCCGGGCGTGCTCCCACCTCCACCACCGCCGCCTGTACCAATGCCTCCGCTTCCAGCCTGCTGCAGGGCAATCTGCTGTTGGGAACGCTTTCGTGTCATGCCGCCATTCTCAACTTTGGACCGTTCCAAGAACATGGTGGCCGCCGTGGGATCAACCGAGGGATCCTCCTCGCCCTCCAGGGCTTCACGCTCGGAGATGTGCTGCAGATTCTGCTGGTTTTCGAAGTTATCGCCGCTCTGTTGGTTCTGGTGCTGGCCGTGATGGTGATGCAAGTGCACCGCCGCCGTGGAACCGTGGTGACCGTCAAGCTGATGCTGTGACGTGTGCGGGGGATGGCTCAGCTGGTGGCGCTCCTCGAACACGGGCGGCATGTCCTTGGACTTGCGGTCCGACTGCGGGCTCGAATAGGCACAGCACGAGTTCTTGTTGCCCATTTTTGGTGATTCAGTTTAAGCCCGGTTCAGTTTCAACTAAATGCAACTTTCGTTTGGCTCTCGCTTTCCTGACTAGCGGTTCGACTCCTAATCCTGCTTGGATGTTTCTCACGCTCTGTTCTCGCTTTTGGCACTTGGTCGTCGTGGATCTATGTCTATGAGCATGGCGCTGGCGCTTCTGTAACGCTCCCCAATTGCCACTGCTGCTGCTGCTGCTGCCGAGCGAGCGTTTTGCTTAACTGCAAAAGAACAGATACAGATAACGATTAGCGTCGGTTTCTATTTGGATCTTATCTGGGAAATCTCTACTCATCCCATGGCCCATTATTATTAATTTTGAGATAGGTTGAATCGGGTATGAAGCTATTTTTGAGGGGTTTGCAATGATTTATAAACAGAGGGTTTTAAATAAATTGGCATTTAAGTTTGTCTTGAAAAAGGCATAACTTTTATACGTTCGTAAAAAACTAAACTAAACATTTTATTACAAGACATAAATAGAATAATTCTAAGGCTAGGGAACTACTCAATTCGGTTTTACTTTTCCATATTTTTTTACTATCTAGGCTGTGCCGCCGAGTAACTCCTTTTATTTGCACTGTTTATAGGCGGATTCGTATTCATTTTGGCTTTGAGGCCGGCCAGGGCCAGGCCAGATTGTTGTGCAAAAATTAATTAACCCCAAGCACGACAGTGGGCTGCAAGTTGCCTAATTTGGCCGGGCCTTTGTCGTTTTGGCTTTCTGCTCCCCTTTTTTTTTTCTTCAACACTTTTGGGAGGGGCGGGGCAGGCGAGTCGCGAAACTTGTGACTTTGTTTATTGCGGGGGAAAATCACAGAAAATCAGAACCAGAAACCGGAGACTGATGGCCCAGTTTGTAGATTAGGGTATCATATTGTCAAACGGTTTTCGGCGTCCCCCGTCCCACAGCCGACAGCGGCAAATTAATCACGGCAAAATGAATGAATGGGTAGCGCAGGCTTCGCAGCTGGCGTTGACGTTGGCAGCGCTGCCTACGTCTGGAGCAACACCCACGATTGTTTCCCAGCTTCCACTATTTGGCCTCGAGCCAAACGTCATTTACCACTGTGATTGACTTTGATTTGGCAGCATTGATCTCAATTAAATCGGCACTTTTCCACACATCTTAATTGTTTTTCTCAATTTTTTGTTTAATTACCTGCTCGGTTTTGGAGTTAGTGATGGAAAACCACTAGAGGTGGTACAAAAGCATCGATAACAGTCCAGATCGCAGCGCCCCTAGTGGACAATAATGTAACTAGGTGGCATAGAAGAGCTGGTCACACCATTGCTAGTTCTTTTAGACTGGTTCCGATTACCGATTATACTCTAACAATCGATATTACTATCCGCCGACAGTTAATAATCGGCAGCCGCGATAGTTAAATATTTAAAATTTCAAAAGTTTCCCTCAAACTCTAGATATTTAAGATTATCCATCACCCAGAATAATTATAAACACGTCTTTAATTAGGTTTAATAATTTTTATTAGTATATTAAAAGTCATATGGTGTTATTATAATATACTTGAAAGTATTTCGTAATAAGCATACATCTCAGCCATATTCCCTTTATTCTCAAATATTTGTTTGTATTATTTTCTGTTGACCAGCCCGTTAATTAATGCATATTAAATGTTGAGTTAAACATAGTAGGAAAATTAAAAAACGCTTCATTAGTATTGTTAGCCATTGTTTGGCGAAATCTAGTAAAGTACACAATAAGTTATGCTTAATCGATAATTTAATAAGTAACTGGTCAAAAAAGTGAATAGATGAAACAAAGATATTTACAGATCTCAGTAATATGCAAGGATTTCGGTTCTGGTTGGGATGGGTTTGTGTTAGCTATTTAATAATTTAAGTCAGGGTGCGCTTTTCTAATAATCTACATCTTTTTTGCATCCTGTGCAACTTTTATTTACACAAAATGTTTATTTTTTTTTCTTTTTATTAAAGGGTAGTTAATATGTTTAAATGTAATGATTGCTTTCAACTTATTTACTTTATTCATGCATTTTTGTGTGTTTTTTCCGTATTGTTCCATCAGCTAAGGGCAAGGTCAGAAGTTGGGGCCCAAAGTTTGAGCGGAAAGTTGCTAGGAAAGTTGTTGCATTGGCTGGAATTATATATATATGTCTTTATGCATGTGTACATGTTACTACTAGACTACATTTCGCTAATAACATTGAATCGTTAACCCCATATATATGAATATATGTTCGATTAGTTTGCCTGTAGTTTGCATCATTTTGTTCAACAAAGATAAATAACAATTTTTTGGTTGGTTTTTGCTGAATTTCGGCTAGTGGCAAGCCAGTGTTACAGCAACTAACTCCTAGGTTATCCAAGACTTTGTACATAGTTATGAGAGAGGTTACGATATATTGTATTTTTTTTTATACCATACATATATATTATATATTATATATGCGTATCGCTTTGAGCGTTCAAGTTTGATATACATTAACATACATATTCATAGACTTATATTTACTTTCACATAGATATTGTGGTTAGGAGTACTATAGATTATTTTGCAGTGTCATCTCGGTTTCTATTTTTATTTGTTTAATTGTGGCTACTAGTAGACATCCCTTCCGCTATACACTTCGGCATATGTTCGGTTACCACGTGTTCGTATATTTATCGACTACCTTAATAAAGCTATGATCCCAATTTCAGCTGATAATTTGGTACCTTACTGCTAAGCACTTTTACCACTGCCCTTTGACGCCATCTTGAGGGTGTTCCATTTTTCATTTTCTCCACTATCCTTCCCATCCCTATTCGGAAGCTCCTGTTCAGTAAAGAGCAGTGGTAAATCTTAAAAGAATGGTCCCGCTATCAGACATTTTGAAAAACGTTTGAAAACATTTCAAGTTGGTTAAAGAAAAGGAAAACCGAAACGAAAGATAAACAAAAATGTTCTGCGTTCCAACAAGCACTCCTCCTTATCATCCCCATAGTTCATCATCCATCATCCATCGAATCACGCTCACGTTTGTATAAAAATAAATATATGTTTTGTAGAAACGCCGTGACTATTATATCCTTAACAATACGTATTAAATATTCTTTCTGTATATGTAGGTAGCTATGTGCATTTCGTAGAGCGAAAAAATTGTTTGAAATCCTTGGCTTTCGTCTTGGTTTGAAGGAAAGTCTGTTAGTGGTTAGTGGAGATAGAGTTAGAGAGACAGAGAGTATATACAAGTCGTACAGCTAGGTTGTCAGGTAATTTTTGGTTTCGTTTTCTTTCTTTTAGTTTCAATTATTAGTAAGGTACTCTTAATATCTAGACAGCTATGGATGAGGCTGTCCTCCAATCGATTAAATAACAACTCTTTCATTTGAGCAATTTGAATGCTTATTACCATAAATGCGACAAAAACACAAGTGAAATAATAAATAGCAACTGTTACAAAAGGATATGCGTTTAATTAGAACGAAACTGGATACATCGAACTTATTGAAAACAATATAATAAATTCCACATTTGACTATAACTAATAAAAATAAGAGACAAGTACAATTCAAGTCTAAGTATAAATGCTCGAAACGAACCAACAAATTCACAACAGATTTCAGTTGAACTCCTTCGCTATTTACATACATCTACGAAAACTGGAACATTACTCGTTTGTTTTTGTGCTTGGCCTTAGTTTTTGCTTGCAACAACAAAGTATACAGTATTTATACATATATATATATATAGATATTAATGACGACCCGCTTGCCGATCCACAACTAAGCCTAAATAGATGATGTACGTAAGTATAATTCTACCACAATTCACATAGAGAGCGCATCTGAAGCGATTTTCTAATCATAATCTATGCTGCTTCTAAGCTTAGTAAATATTATCCGTTCGGAAATCCTCCTTCAGTGGCCTTCACTGTGCTAATCCTTTTTCGTTCCGAAGTCTCCTTCTTCTGTGATTTTGTTTTTTTCGACTTTTGGATTTTAGGTGTGCAATTTAGGTGGCGCCATCTGCAGGCTCTGCGGCCGCCTCCTCACCTTGACCGCCGTCGCCATTGCCGCCATTGCCGTCAGCAGCCGTTTCCGTTTCCGCCGCGGCCGGCTTGCTCTCCTCCTCTTCCGCCGCAGCAGCTGCGGCTGCAGCTTCCTCTGCTGCGGTGGCCAGGGCCCTCGCCTCGGCATCTGCAATACGATAATTTGATTTATAATTCTGAAGCTCAATTTTCCATAATTTTCAAGTCTAAGAGATATATTACGCTTTTTTGCTTAATAAACTTACGGGGAATATTTCTTAAAAATTGTAAAAATTGAGACCAACATAATTTTTATTTTAAACAAAAATGTAAATACAAATTTTAACAAAATTCATTGTATTTCTTTTTTGACCAATCAGTTTTTTTTTATTATTTTTGGCCTTGGATTCTTGAACTCTTGATTTCTCCTAATGGCCGCTCTTTCTGCGCCGATCCATAAGCTCTGCGTAAGAAGGTAAACTCATGAATAATAATTTATGGATTCAGTCTGGAGATCAAAGGAATGGACAGCCCAAACTCAATTAGTAGTGTAATTGGCACAAAGAATACCGGAATGGCGGGCACAAGGCCTCAGCCAATTAATATGATAATGAAAATAGTCCTACACTTTAAGTACCAAAAAAAAAAAAAGGACCTTCATTTAAATAAAATTAAGAACTAATTAAATCTGAATAATTGTAGATGCCTTTGTGCGGAGTATAATTGGGATTTTAACTTTGTATTTTTATATATATATTCTGATTTTACACTAATTGAATTTTAAACCAGAATGGAACTGAATTTCAGGCTTGTTTCCGATAATTTTTTTAAATAAACTCTATAATCAATTGACTACAAATGTATTTGAAAAACAATCAATCAATTTTACCTTTAACGGACTGCTCCTTCCAGATCTTTTTGTTTTCGGCGAGGCAAGCGAGCCAGGGCTTCGGGATGCTGAACTTGCTGGCGGTGCTGCTGGTAAGGCTCTTCCGGGCCATGCTCGCAGTAGTGGAGCATTCGGCGGTGGACTTATCTTCCCTCCGATCACTTGATTTAGAGGCGCTAGACGAGATGAAGGAGGCGCCGGCCGGTCCGACGACCTCGTGTTCTATGACGGTACCCGGCTTGCCTTTAGACATGGGGGCTATCGGCGCCAGGATGTACTCGAGCATATCGGACAGTACGCCCATGCTCGGCTCCACAATAAAGTCTATAAAGCAGATCTGTGACTCGGCCACCAGGGTGTTGTTGCGATCGCACAGCGGGCTGAAGGGCAGGCCCAGTTCCTTTTCGAGATCGCCCTGGCGGAAGAACTCCTCCAGCAGGAGCATCGTCCAGCGGTGGTGGACTCCCCATTGCTTGGCCGGGTGCGAGATGTCGCAGCAGTGGAGGACCAGGGAGAGTGCCTTCTGCTTGTCTATGGACGCCTCCTGGATCGTGAGCAGCTGGCGCATGGCCTTCATCTGCTGGAAGTGATTGGTCATGTCGGTGCCCAGAACCATCTCAATGATGAGGCCTCGCAGTTCGCGGAACTCCTCGCGCGACAAGTGTGAAAGGATGTTGTATTCGTCTTCGCGCAGGAGCCGGAAACTGGCGCTGGCATGGTGGTTCTCCAAAACAGCTCGGTCGTTGTACAAGAGTGCCGTCTCCGAGCCGGACATCACATGGAAGTTGTTGGTGGTGCCCGTGTGCTCGTAGTCGTGGAGCAGAGCGGCCAGCAGCGAGGCAAAGATCTCGAGGTCCGTCAGCCAGTTCATCAGGCCGGTGTTGCACAGGCAATAGTGGATCGTCTGCATCACGTCCACGGCATGGAGATTGTTGTGGTACGGATTCCTGTACCGGCAGTAGCCCTCCTCTACGCGGTAGAGAAACGCCTCTAGGGTTCCGGGCGCTATCTTGAACTTATGGATTGATCCGTAGCGATTGAATAGCTCATAGGCCACATATTTAACCACCTGGCCACTGGCCGCCTCAGTTAGTGCGAACACATCGAATGTCCAGTCGTCCAAATTCTAAATTAAATGGTTTGGAATCAAAAAGGATCTTTTAGTTTTTTTCAGTATAGCTCGTAAAAAATGTTCCAATAAAAATGGTATTTATTAATGTATTTTTAATCCAACTAAATTTAAAATTATGTACGAATGAATACGATAATTTTGCACCTTTTATACCCTAAAAATCGTTTAAGGTACTCCGCTTGAGAATTGGATCAGGATTGGGAAAGATATGGCCATCACAGTTTCCCGTATAGGGGAAAACCCCATTTTCAAGGGATCCCACAGCAAAAATGGACAAAAAATTGAAAAAATATTTTGTCTCAGGATTTTGATGCAGAATGGTGCAGAATCGATCTAGAAATCGTTTAAGGTACTCCGCTTGAGAATCGGATCAGGATTGGCGCAGATATCGCTATCACTGTTGGCCATATAGGGGAAAACCCCATTTTCTAGGGATCCCATCAGGAAAAATGGACAAAAAATCTAAAAAATATTTTGTCTCAGGGTTTTGATGCAGAATGGTGCAGAATCGATCTAGCAATCGTTTAGGGTACTCCGCTTGAGAATCGGATCAGGATTGGCCAAGATATGGTCATCACTGTGGGCCATATAGGGGAAAACCCCATTTTCAAGGGATCCCATCAGCAAAAATGGAGAAAAAATCTAAAAAATATTTTGTCTCAGGATTTTGATGCAGAATGGTGCAGAATCGATCTAGAAATCGTTTAAGGTACTCCGCTTGAGAATCGGATCAGGATTGGCGCAGATATTGCTATCACTGTGAGCCATATAGGGGAAAACCCCATTTTCAAGGGATCCCATCAGGAAAAATGGACAAAAAATCTAAAAAATATTTTGTCTCAGGGTTTTGATGCAGAATGGTGCAGAATCGATCTAGAAATCGTTTAAGGTACTTCGCTTGAGAATCGGATCAGGATTGGGAAAGATATGGCCATCACAGTTGCCCGTATAGGGGAAAACCCTATTTTCAAGGGATCCCATCAGGAAAAATGGACAAAAAATCTAAAAAATATTTTGTCTCAGGGTTTTGATGCAGAATGGTGCAGAATCGATCTAGAAATCTTTTAAGGTACTCCGCTTGAGAATCGGATCAGGATTGGCCAAGATATGGTCATCACTGTGGGCCATATAGGGGAAAACCCCATTTTCAAGGGATCCCATCAGGAAAAATGGACAAAAAATCTAAAAAATATTTTGTCTCAGGGTTTTGATGCAGAATATTTTAATATCTTTAGCAATGTGATCAATGTTTCAAAATAGGCTTACCTTGAGCAACCTGACCACATCGGGCGGGAAGGCCGTAAGGGCCGAGCTGGAGACCCGGCGGTACATGCGGTCCACAAAGATGCCCGCCCGGATCGCGTGGGCCACCGAACGGAACTTGGGCTTCTCGTCGCTCTTGCGCCGGCTGGTGGCCATCTGGCGGGTGAAGGTCGAGGCCAGCCACTCGCGCACCTCCGGCGGCACAGCATCCGGCTGCACCTCCGACAGCTCATCGTCCTCGTCCGCCAGGCGCCTGGTAGGTGATAGGTGGGTGGTCGGGTTAGGGGGTGGAAGAGAAGAATCACGTTAGTTCATTTGCATAAATATTCCTTTTTTCGGGTTAATCAATTACCAAAACAATACTCAATAGAAATGTACAAAATAAAACCGAATTTTTAATTGGTTATCTGCTCTCGAGTTCGATAAGCTAAAGTTACAATTCAAGTCAAATGAAAGCCAAATTTAAAACAATAATGTAAAATAGAAAGGAACTAAAAATATAACGATAAGTTTTTGTGTGGGTTAGAAATTTTGCACGGAAAATAGGAAAGTTTTTCTTTTGTCAGGTTGGAAAACAAAGTTTAGTTTTTGTGAATAGAAAAAGTTTAATTAGTGAGCGGGGAGAATAGGTTGTTTTGGTTAAAGTTAACAGGTATTTACATAGCTATAGATATAGACACGAGTATATATATTTGCATTAGCTAGTTAACAGCTAGGAGAGTTAGAGGGGGTTGTGTTGGAGGAGTCTTTCATGTGAATTGGATTGTGTTTCAAAAAAGTTGGCTACTTGGCAAGAAGCTAACAAAAGCAGGCAGTGTGCAGCATGCTTCGTGAGGCATGTTGGCGTTTTGTGTGTCTGTGTTTAATGGGAGTGGATTTAGTTAATTGCATGCCAAGATCCAGTGCTTATCAGGTGCAACATCTAAAACGAGAACATCAAAAACAAGATATCGTGCCAACATAGAAGAGACAACTCTAAGAAAGCCAGAAGGCATCAAAATAACTTTTCCGAGAAAGCTTGCAATCAGCACAGGAATGGAACTTGATAGTCGCTCCTTTTGAGAGTTCCTAATTGGCTCATACACAGACAATCACACACCCCCTGTTACACAATACCCACACACAGGCGCACGCAGTGAAAATCTCACTAATTGGTCTATTAGGCGCAGTGTCCTTCTTTTTCCCGGCGACCCAATCAATGCGTTTCCCCAGCAACGACGTCTTGCTTGACCCATCTCACAATTCTTACAAATACGATGAATGGCCTAGCCTAGTTGCAATTGATGGCAACAATTGAAATATACTCTTTCTAGATTGGGAAATGTTCTGTAGTTATTTGGTTATCGACTAGCAAATGTCTTTGTTTCAAATAATATTCATTTTTCTAATGGTTTACTATATTAAACACTTTAGTATATTTTTTTGCACAATATTTTAGGTCTTACATTTTTAGTAATACCAACTAATACTCTTAAAAAGAAAATGCCAAAGTTTTTCCACTTTTCCCCCTCAACAACAAAAGCTTTTCAAAAAGCAAGTACATATTCCACTACTATTACAATTTCAAACGAAAGTTAAATGATTCTCGGAAAATTCTTCTTATTATTTTCGATTTTCCTTTTATACACGGCTTCGGGGAAAAGGAAAGTAATCATAAGGAATCCTTACTGTCTGAAATTCCTTTGACTTTAGCAAATTAGCGAAAGATTGAATTATGGTTAATTAGAGAAACTTAACACAAACAAACAAGCACTATGGTGTTTGCTCAAGATTCCGGGTGAAGATTCTTGAGACGACGCTTTCGGATTAGTGGCTTGACTTGAGGTGATGCCACCTCCTCACTCTCCTGGCGGGTCATGTATGCCAGCCACATCATTAATGCTGAACCACAGAATTTGCGGCGGGTTCAAGTAGGGCAATGACAGGACTTTGCTCTACTTTTGGTTTACGAGAAGGATAAGATTGGAGTAAGATAGAAAATTTCTTTGAAAAGGTTTGAGTTTATATATCTCTTTATATCCTTATAACCCTTTAAATTTAATTGTAAAATTGCAACCTCTGAATGAAATAAAATAATTCTACTTGAGTGGCTGCAAGTGGAAACAGATATGTTGCCACAATTTATGAATATTCACCCTTTCGCTGTGTGATATTTTTACGATTTTATATTCTTCCGTCCGACCACCATTTCCCACTGGAATAATACTCTGAAAATGGGGGTCTGGCCATGCCATTCTCCAGTGCGAGTATCATCATTCTTACATAACACTCTCCCCATAAACTGTGGCCAGCATTTGTCATGTGAATTTATTTTCTGTGCAGTTCCTACCAAGTGCCAGAATACAGTGTTGCGGTTGGTATGTTTATATTATTATTTTGCAGCAGGATAATTCACCGAGCTTTGTTTCTTCTACTTTTGGTTTATACTTTAGGATGCTTTTATTTTGTTGTATATTTATTTTGTATTTAATACCATTCGGATAGCATGGCATGCTCCATTTCAGACACACAAAACATAGTGGAAAATGTTTTTTTAAAATAATTTTTTAAGTTTCTGATTTGTTTGGCTTTTGATTTTCAATTTGAGATTTATTTAAGAGACACTTGATAGTTGAGGTAGCACCTTTTCTTCTTCTCCTGCGTCTCCTTGGCGCGATACTGAATTATGAACTGTATCAGCTCGACGGTGATGACGCTTTGTCGGCTACTTTCACGCCTCAGACGACTCATGGCGCGAGTGGCGACGACGACCACGATGGTAATGACGGTCAGCCGGCTGAAGCGGCTGCCCGATGGCTCCTCAGTTACTCCTGCTGATCCCAATACTACCTCGCTGTCCACCTCACTAGTGCCGCCCGGTATCGCGGTCAACATGGAATCCAAGTGGAAGTTGACTTTGTGGCAATGTCGTGCCCGCTTTTTGTCACTTGAAATTAATACATCATTTTTGTATTTTTTGTTTTTTTGGGGGACACACCTTAATAACTCTTTTGACCCGGAGAGGGGTTACGAATTTCGTTTCCCCCCCAGCCACACTTCACTTTCGTAATTAGCTGGCAAAATGCGCTTTTAATGACGGGACAACAACCAATATTTGTGCAGCACTTTGTTTTCCAATTTTTTTTTCTTTTGCTATTTTGTCGGCAGAATTCTTTTTTCTTAGTTTACCGCAGCTCGTTGTTCGACTTTTGTGTACTTGGCCCGACGCGAGTTAAATTTAAACTGAATGGCTCCGCTGGTCCGGAGAGTGCCCGGAGAAAAAGAACGCGCAAATGGTTGGCGAAATTTCGCCAGCCAGGAGCCATTCGGGCTCCGTTTGCGTGTGACCACGGGCCTGGAGCTTGGAGCAAGGACCACGGACGGAGCCCACAAACCTGCCGGAGAGTCCTGGCCCAGCTGGATTGCGTGTACATAGCTCCGCACACGCCATCAGCAGGAGGGAGTACGAAAGAATTACCCAGGCTGGTTGCCGGAGGGAGGTGGGTTGGGGCAAAATGGAAAACTTGGAGAAGTTTTCCTACTGTACTAGGTGGCCCATATCAATTATGTCAGCGGTAAGACATCGCCAAGTCATGCCAAGCCCACCACAGAACTATTATGTATCAGGAATTCCCAGGCACTGCGAAAAGTTGCGACATTCTTTTTTAATATTTGTGGTATTAAAAAAAAATGGTTGCTATTAGTTGGTACTGGTACTCGATTGAGTTCTTTTAAGAACTTGATAAGCTTTAGCTTGAAAATTTATCAAAAATGTGAAAATTGTACATATTTTTATATAAAATATTTTGTACTTGAGTATAAGACGTCTAAAAAACCTAAATCTTTCTTATTTCATTTAGAAAACTAAGGTCTTTGGAACTACTTCTTCCCAAACTACATTTTTTTAAAAGAAGATCAAATAACCATCATTGGAATACCAAAAATGATACCATTTTAACTTCTCAATTAAAAATAATAATGCTTTAAGTAAGATAAAAGGATATTCAGCTTGAACGAATACTTGAGAAAAGTTTAAATATCTTATGTACATTCACCAATTATGTATCTTTATTGAAATCCCTATTTTTTCTTGAAATGTATTCCCTAAGCTGGATAGCCTCCACTAGAACTCGTTTATATACCAAGATATTTACTATTTCCTACAAAACAATTAGACCAAATGCTAAAAGGCATCTCACCAAACAATACGAGTACTGGCCAACATGAAGAGGAACAGCTTTGGCTGTAATAACCCGACCAAGTAAAAGGAATAACTGGAGCCTGATAAACACGACAACGTCACGAATTCGTTCCAAGTATCTACCATAGAGTCCAGATACTAGCAAAAGTATCTGTATCTGAAAGTAACTTCCTTTTGGGTCCTTGGCGTTTGCCTTTTGCTTAATGACTTGCCAGAGTAGGTAAGAAGGGTTCAAGGTGGTTTGCTATTCGGGCGGTAAGCTTGGCCCATAAAAACTTGGCCCAAAACCAGCACAATATCCACTCTCTCTCTCTGGGGGTAAAATTTTCCTTCAATTCCAATTGCATTTAATTTCGTGAGCGCTTTTCCTTATTTTCTTTTGATTCAATTTTCATTTCTTTGGGCCGGTGGCAAGCGTGCGGCAAATTGCGTGTTGCGGAGTTTGCTGAAATAAATTGCATCAGTTATTGGCACATTTGCATGATTTCTCTATGAGTATTCCTTGGACTTTCCTTCCCGCCTGCCTTCCTTGATGATATGCAGTTGGTGAGCACGCAAGCTATAATCTGGCTTAAAGTCCTTAAAGTTGGCAACAGGTTGCAACAGTTGCAAAATGGTTTTTAAATAGTTGTGGACATAATAAAATATATAACCAGTTAAGTAGCACATTAAAGCTTTCAGATTCTTTAACTTTTTTCAGTAAAATTCAGGAAAAAACCTTAAAAGTTTCGTAAGTTTCTCCTTTGATGTTTTAAGAGTGCGGCTTGGTTTTAAGGGTCATTTGCTGGCTGGGTTCGGGCCAAAAATGATGCCACTATTATCCCATAAAGGGCCAATGATAATGGTGCTCTTCCCGAAATATTCTCCCCCCCTCAGCCACCCCTCTTCTGACGTGTTTTCACCCATTTCCTCGGGAAGCATGCTACTTAATAGTTATGCGTGCAATTTCCTGTGCTTATGCCTCAAGCGTTTTGTCGTTGTTGTCTTTGGCCAGGTTGTTGTTGCTTTTGTTGTTTGTGGCATTCTTGGTTGTCATCACCGCCATTGACGGAACACGGGAAATTGCTGGCAAATTGACAGCTTTGTTTTGTTCCAATGATTCTGTGTAGTCGGCATCGGCGTTGGCTTTTTGAAAATTCGCCCAGAAAATCGGCTCACATGTCCCATTACCCTCATCCGTCCCGATCCCTGTAGTTATAGATTCAGTGGGTGGGCTTATAGGTGGTGGTATGGCGCAAGGACATGTGCGTAATATAGTACAAAAGCCAAGAGCAAGGATCAATGGCAACTGGGCGAGGGCGGATGGAATTTTCAATCAAAAACGGAAAAGTTCCATTATATTCGAGTGTTTATTAAACAATAATGAAATATCATTTGAAAAGTTCTGAAAAATATTTGAATTAAACTGAATTTTATAAACGACTTCTTATACATCCCCTAGTTACCGCTTGTTTAAAGTCTTTTTAACAAAAAAAATAATAATGCTACTCTCTAACTTTTCAATCAACCCTCGCTTATCAACGTACGCCCACGACTTTGTACGATTAAACTGCGTATTCGCATTGTATTACCAGCAAAGCGGAAGACAGGACACAGAACACAGGAAACAGGACCTAATAGTCCAACAACAGCGTCAAGGTCCCAAGGTCGTTTCATTTGATGCGACTATTTTGGATACATTTCCTAAGAGCCCTCGTAATCCCCTCCCCTACCGTACTCCCCATAGATAGCCATTACTCAGGAGTGTAAGTTGCCGATGTGGCAAAAATTGGCAGTTAACATCATTTGTTATTGATTTTCGCATTGGGTAATATCGGAATATCAGCTGCTGGCTGGTGTCCTGGTCGTCCTGGGGTTATTTGCTCCCTGTTTTTGGGTCACTCCCATTGTACTCGCCAAAAGATGATTGATGAGCGAGCCAGTCAGTCGAGCACTCTGAGTAGTAACCTTCAACTTGGTGGCAGTAGGATGGGTTCGGTGTGGACTGTTGACCCAATTTCCGTCCGGCCAATGGGCCAATGGGGGTGGTGGCCGCGGACAACCTCCCACTATCCTCTGACTCATTTGAATATGGTTAGCAATTTTAATTGGTTTTTGCTGCAGGTACTAGGTACTGCCACTGCTGCCAACGCATTAATTATATTCCACATACATCACTTAGCTAGGGAACCTGACATTCCGCCACTTGTCCAATCAGTGTTAATGACTATTAATGATACATTTTCCAATTACTTGCTTGGTTTCTGCCGATTCTGCAGCATAATTGCAAAAATATCCCGTTAAATTGTGATTAATTCGAATTATTCGTATTTATTCAGGTGGTTTTTTTCGCCAACTTTTCACATAATTTTCAACCGCGATTGCCGCCGCGGGCGTCTGTTCAGAGTCCGAACCCGAAAGAGACACTTTAAATTTTATTTTCAACTTTATCGGCATGAATGAAGCCGCAAATGGCATTTAATTTGTTAATTTTCAACAATAGATATCTGCCCCGATGATTACGACACCTCACATCGACGCACACCAGTGACAAGCATATATCTATCTATGATTTCTATATCTTTCATATATACCTCAAGTTTTACAAAAACTGTGATTTCCTTGTCGTTTATATATTTTGTGAACTTTTATTATTATTTGTTTTTTTTTCTCTTTTTTTTGTGGTTTTTATCATAATTAAACAAAGCCAAAAATGCGTCAGTGACGGCGGTATTGATAAGAAAACTTTTGTAGATTTTTTTGAATAATTTTTAAGGGGCGATAGTGTAAGCCAAAGAATATTACATTGTAAATTGTATTACCAATGAATAAACACTTAAAAATTAGTTATTAACTTAAAAATAACATAACAAAAACGTATACAAGATTAGGTTTCTATTTTGGTAGGTAGCCCTTTAAATAAAATTTACTTAATATATATTTTAAATAAACTTAATATATTCAAACATTGTCACTGTATCTAAGTTATTTTCTTGTCTATTTCATGTTTATTTTTTTTAACCTGTGGTAAGCTTCGGCCTCCTTTGACGATTTGTCTTCATAATTCGGAAGTGGGCGTAAGGCCACGTCCCCCCTTTTAAGAGCCTAAAATGAAAGCCTGGGATTTACTTGGCCCGATTTGAGGGGCTTTTAGTGTCCCCCTGTCTTTCACTGATTCGGTAGTTGCCCGGGTGCCGGGTGACTTGTGACTCCGGGCTTTGACGTCGCAACTGACGGCCTAAACTAATTTCGTTGTCGTCGCCGGCACATGTAAAACCGAATTAAAGTGACAGCCTCTTGGCTTATTCTGATTCTTCCTACCCAGCTTCCCGGTGCTTGGCTTGATTAATTTTTGGACCGACAAGGCGGGAGGCACAAATCATCATCTATGGTATGGTATGGTATGTGGGCATTGCGGTGCTGGGTGGTATTGGGAGATACTGGAGTGCAGGGTGCGGGTAATTGCGTATTTTGCAAGTGAGCAACCACAAAAAGACAGCACAACTAATCACATACAGAGATGCACTTGAAAAAGATACAAATTCATATTTTTAGGATTTTATTTTAGGATAAATTTATAAAAAATTTTAAATTATTTTTAAATAGGTTAGTAGATGACTCCAAGTAAAGGAGGTTCTAGGTTCTTTTTCTAGAATCTAGATTATATTTCTTCTATTTAATTTAAAAAAATATATAATTTCTCTTAAAATTGCTTTCTTTTTTCAGTGCATGTGCATGGACACCAAAAGCAGACACATTGGAGGCTTGGAAGGATGATGGTTAGACAAACCGCAAGCGGATGATTCGTCGCTTATTGCTGTAGTCGTCGTCGTGGATGTGACTGTGGCGACGGGCGTAGCTGAGGACGTGGGTGGAGCTGGAGGACGAGGAGGGGGCCGAGATGCATCTGGACAGACAGACAGACATATACAAGTACAATACAGCTGCTGGAACGAGGAGTACCATATTACTCGCCCCCCACAAAGTGCCTTCAATATTGAATTTAATTTATGGGTGCCACGGTGAGACGGCGTGCCAAACAAAACTAGAACAATGGTTCGGGATTATCTCTGACTTTGCGTGTCAAGGCTAAAGCCCAACACCAATTCTTGGAATAGCCCTTCGACAACTTAATGCCGATGGCAAGTCGTTTGCTTTCGTTCCAAACCAATTTAAGCTAATTACTCAGAGGAGCTCAGAAAAAAAGGAGTTTGGGAATCGGAGATAAAAGGAGTTCGGTCAATGAACAGCAAACAAAGAAGATGCTGAATCCATTCAAGCATAAAAGTTGGGAATAAAAAAGGGACCTATAGTACAGATATTGGAAATACCCTTTAAAACAAGTCTTTTTAGGATTATTTATTTTTTTCGATAAGCTAAACACCCTTACTGTTACAAGTCATGCCCTTAAATATTAAGCTGAAGACCACACTTTCATTAGAAAAAGGCCATAAAAATAAATACATCATCTGCATAAGGTAAATAAACCTTTTTCATAAATTTAAGTTTATGCCTGCTACGCCCGAAATGTTCCAGAATATCATCCTAGAAATTGAGACCCATCAGCGTTTGGGCCATTTCCATCACAAGGGAACATTTTCAGAGCACCATTTTCATAAATTTCCATTACCTATACCACCGAATGCCATGATAGAAACAGAGAAATGGCCAATCCAACTTGGCTGCACTTTCATCAGGCCAACGCGTTCAATAACAATTCAGCGCGAGGGTATGGCGCAAATCATTGTGGGACTTTGCTCGCTTAATCAGTCTGCTGGGAGCTGTTATGGCTGCTGTCAGGGATTGCTCTCCGCCACCGCCACCGCCGCTGGGTCCCGAACTCCCGTTGGCAGTTTCAATTTCCACACATTCAGCTGTCCGACAGCAGATTGGAGCTCGTCGTCGCCAGTGCACCAATGCATATAAATGACGTAGCAATTGGAAGCCATTTGTTATGCGAAGCTCTTCTTTGTTCCACAATTAGAAATGGCCAACTGGGGACAGTCGTCCAACATAAAGACGTTTGCATGGCTTTAACTGCAGACATTTGCAAGATTTAAGATCGAAAAAATAAACAAAGAAAGATTGTAAATCCCTGTCTAAACCAAAGGTTCTTTTTAGACATAGCTCTTAAGAATATTCCATTTTTAAAACAACAAATTGATTTTCTTTTTTGGAAACTTTGAACTGCAAAAGTTCTTAGTTGTATTTCTTAGGAACTAGTTTGGGGGAAATGTAGTAAGTTTTGGCCACATGAGATTTGGTGTGCGTGGTTACTTAGAATGTGTTCATTAGAGAGCGGTTGCTTGTCTGCGATTCCATCGCCAGACCGTAGCATCATCGCACACGTAAACAAGGACACTGGCATCTCGTGAGAAGGCGATCTGACGTACTGTTGAGACACTGCGCAGGTTCTGCAGTGTGGTCATGTGGGCGCCCTCCGGATCACTGGGATCCAGCTCCCAAACGTATACATTGCCCTGCTGGTTTCCAAGAGCAATCACCTTCTGCCAGGGATTAAAACCAAATCTAACGAACCATATTTCACACTCATCGTATTCGAACTCTGCAATAATGGTGCAGGATGAATCGCTCGGCTTCACCTGCTCGAAGCTCTGGTGCAGTTGTCCCGGCTTCCAGCAGACAATGGCATTCTCACAGGACTTGGACAGCACAAAGTTGCCGAACCATTGAACACAGTCCACATAGTTCCGGTGTATATCCCTCGTGGAAAAGTCTGGGAAATGCTTTGTGACAGTGGGAAACGGCAAAGTGGATTTCTCTTGGCTAAACGTGTTGGACAGCTCGATCTTGTGCTGAAACTCGGGGGTATTCAGGCACCACAGCTTCAACGAATGATCCATACCGCTGGACACGATTCGATCACCGCGCATATTAAAGTCTATGGATAGCACCTCGTCGCGATGTCCCTCGACTCCACCTAAAATGGCGATGCAGACGTGGGTCTGGATATTCCACAACCTAATAGCATGATCTTTGCTGCCCGAAAGAAGCAACTGTAGCTTGTGTGGATGGAATTTGAGCTCGTTGATGGCTTGTCCATGTCCGATGTAGTTTCCTACCGCTTCGTTCTGTTCAACGTCGATGACACGGATCACACCGCGGTATCCAGCCGCAGCTAAGAGCGGCGCTGAGGATTTCAGGTCGTAGGACCAAGCACAGGTGTAGAAAACTTCATCCGGCTGGAAATGGCAAAGTATTCGTACTTCTCTTTGGTAGCTTTGTCTAAAAAAACTCACATCTGGATCGGCATAGCAGTGAAGCAGCTGCATTCCTCCCTGGCGCGGACACTCGTAGACAGTCACCCGATTGCTGCCGGCAGTGGCAAATACTTGGGGCTCCTCCTTGCCCAGTAAAGTATTGAAGGCCACGCCGAAAATGTTGGCTCCGTGGTTCTCCTTTACGTGTGTGCTTCAAGTATATACGCACATACGAATGAAAAATAGTGATTCCGGCTTGTTTGGACGCAACTTACTCGTATTTGTAGGCCGCCCGGTTCTTTGGCTTTGAGGATTTGGTGCTCCGGCGTCCACGCCGTTTGCTCCGTGTGCTGGAGGCGGATGGCGACTTGCTGCGCGATGTGGTGCTATTGGTCGTATAACTGGCCGACTCATCCTGTCCAAAGGCATCATTAATTATCATTTTTCACATCCATTTATCATTTGTTTTTTTCCGTTTTGTTTTTAGGTTGGCTACTTACGCCACATGAGTCGTCGGAGTCATCGTTGCCGTTTTTCACTTTATCACTGCTCATTTCGTATGCCGCGCACGCTTCAGCTTGTATCAGAGCTGCCAATTAAGCACTCGATGCCAAAAAACTTTTAGTTTCCACACGAAAGAATCTTTAAACAATGCTAAAATGTTTTTAATCACTTTTGGCGGCAATAGTCTGACCGTCGTTTTCGATCACGATAAATACCTACCCGGCGGACGGTCATACCAGGGCACAGAGTGGCCACATGGTTACGATCACCAATCGATATTTCGATTAATTTGAAAGAAGCGCAAAGAATTTGAAAGTTTGAAATCCAGAAATGTCAAAACACATGCTTAATCAAGATAATATATTAAGAGGAACGATTAAAAATAAATTTAGGACAAAGAACATGCCATGGTTTCGTATGTGGTAAGAAAATGTTAACATTTATGTACATAATAACATTGGAGAACAAAATAAGCGATTTTTTTCATGCCGGTCAAGTAGGAAATTTAAAAATCATTATTAAATGTCTTTAATTTTGAAAGACTTCTTCCATATTAAATTTCCTTCTTTTTGGCATTTTATTATGTAACAGTCAAAATTTAGACAAAATTCACTTCGAGGAACATTTACAATTACGCAGAGAGCGCGGGTGGGGAACAAAACAAGTGTTTCAATTATATATTTTTTTATTTTTGCTATAGAAAACATAGATATTTACAAAAGTTGCGAGCAAGTTTAAATTTTCGGAAAGGGACAGAGGCTAGACAGAAGATTACAGCAGTGGAAATCGCAGACACAGGTCAGCAGACAGATAGAGATAGAAATATATAGGAGATAGAGATAGACAGAGAGTTATGTAGAGTATTTAATTCTGGAGCTGTGTTGGTTGGTTGTTAACGCAAACGTCAAATCAAAAACGCAAATCGAACGAACGGAAAACGGAAAATAACAGTTGTTATATTAGAAAGAAATCATTTTTCAAGTACGTTTTGTTCGTCGACATGGACCTGGCCCAGGTGGGAGTCCTCAGGCGGCGCTGCCGGTGCACGGTTGCTGGATTACTGCTACAACTGCTGGCAACAACACTTCCCGCCGCCGCTGTGGATGTCGCTGGGGCTGTGGCTGTGGGTGTGGATGATGGTGTGGTTGCAGGTTTCAAAGTCGCATCTTTGGCCGAGCTCTCTTCCATTACCGATTCCCTTACAGTCTCCAGGGCTGGCTGTAATTTGCTGGTGGGGGTTGAGGTGGTGGTGGAGCTTTGGGTAGGTGTTGTGGCATCCTGAGGCGGCGGGCCAGTAGGTCCGCCGTGGGTTTGTGGTGCCAGCGAAACGCCCTTGGTGCGACTCTCTATTTGACCTCCACCCTCCTCCTGATTGTCTCCCGGCTCAGGCGGCGCTCCACCTCCAGCTGCCACCTCTTCCCCGGACTTTTCCTCCGGCTTCTGCAGACTGCAGCTGCTGTTGGAATTATTGTTATCCTGCTGCTGATCATCCCGCCCGTGGCTATGGCGACTGCAATTCAGGTTCTTGCAATTGCCATTGCAGCCCTCTCTGCTGGACAGTTTTCCCAACAGAAGGATATCGAGTCCAAAGGACGACGGACAAGTGTTTCGCCGCCCAGCAGTTGTCAGTGAATATCAGCGAACCAGTGCAAATGACAATTTTTAGTTACGAGACACGTTGTTGTTGCATTGCATTCATTTTGATTGTTGTTTTTGTGTTTTTTGGATGAGAGTTTTTATTAAGTTTTATGATTTTTTTTGTTTTTAGAAAATAGTTTTGGCAATAGAAAGAAAAAAATATATAAATAGAACATCAGTTGAGAGATTGTGGTAAAGCTTTAAGGTTTAGTAAGGGTAGGGTTAAGGTCCACTTCCCGCGAAGAAAGCCATATAAGATGCCCCAAATTACAAAATCAGCAGGAAATTTTATAATTGTTATCCTTAATTTTTAAGCAAAGTTAACCAAAAACTTCGCATGTTGCTGGCAAAAAAACAAATGGGAAACTGCAATCCAACCTCACTTGGCTATGTAAATCGAAGATTCGTGTAAAATGCGTGTGTTTTCGGTTGAAGAACTTAAATAATTCATGGGACACCCGAGGGAAAGAGGGGCTTAAAGGGTTTTAATTGAATGTGTGGTAAATAATAAAAATCTCTGATGCATGGGGCTTGTATTGTGGCGGATTTCCCTCTGTGGCTGAGAAGGAAACCTGAATTCCGGATTTGAGAAATGCAAAGCTTTCGAAAAATAAAAAAAACTATCAAAAAAATTCAAAAAAGAGCTGTTTTTCCAAACTCTATTTTGAAATTACTTTGCATTTTCAAGAAATTAACCTTTGAAAACTGATAGCGAAAAGTTATAGCTGAAGTAGTAGAAGTACATTTTAGGTTTTTGAAAAATACACAGAGAATTTCATCTGGCGAGTTAATTATCGAACCAAGTAGAAGTAGATATGCAGATACACGGAGAGAAATGGCGAGCACAAACAAGTGAGACACCAAGATTTGAAGACAGAGAGACAGGTGAAATGAGTTAGGAACAGTACTTCAATAGTTAAGTAATTACGGTGCTGCGAACTGGTTAGAGGACGCTGTTCTGGGGTCTTGACCATAACTTAGTTAATTCTCAGATACCGAAGTAGATAAGTACACAGTTTATACGTTACTTTACGATAGCTAGGCTAAGAATTACGCGATCTCTGCAAACTTTAAAATGATGATGATGGATTTTGATGAAAGATAGAAAATAGAAGACAGAAAGAGTAGATAAAATAGTTGATGATGATGAACTAGAGTTTATTTGTATTTTTTTTAGCAAGGCAATGTATAGATCTTGATTTTTGAAATACTTGAACTGAAGAGAGCACTACAAAGTATGATATAGAAGTAGTTAGAAAGTTGGAAGAAGAAAATAGGTGAGATAGGTGAAAAGTAGTAGTACGTTTGGTTGGGTGGATTGGTATTTCTTGGATATTGATGTGGGCGCGCTTCGGATATGGATTTAAATACTTTTATCATTTAGAAGAGAGATGTTAGACTTAAAAATCAACAGAGTTAACGACAAAACCAAAGCGCAAGTTAGACTCGATGGGAAAACTTACTCTTCGCTCTCAACGGATGAGGACGCAATCTGCCCCAACTTTGTTTTACCTGATGTGGGGCTTCTGCTCATTAACACAGATACACACACACAGTAACAGTAACAGAAACGGATATAAAAAGAAAAATATTCAGATATATGTTTACATAGATATAATATATAATTAAAAGGCCACAAGGATGAAAATCAAATCTTAAGGTAAAAAGGGATTATTTTTTTTTGGTATCCGATTGCAGAATTATATGATTTTAGATGTAAAATGGTCGCTTTTATTTTAATTAATAATTATGGCGGAAAGCTTGCCTTTGAGTGAAAATCCAAAATTTTGAAACTACGCAGCTTTTTTCAAAATGAAACCTATACAAGATACGTTAAAAAGCCTAAACCAATTCGTTGGGAGCCCCGAAAGAAGCCCAAGCTGAAGCAAAGTTGTCCTACGATCGATTCGTTATCCCAAGTTGCTTGGAAAGTTTTGTTTTTGGGAGATGGTTTCATTAGAAAGGGGTTTTTACTTTCACCTACCTTGATTCGTCAATGAAGACCGCTTCGAGAACTCGAGCCGCATAATGCAGATTGCGCTGCATGTCCTCGTAGGCCACGGTCTCGTGATCCATGCGGCGGAGAAGACTGCGTATTCTAAGGATTTCATAAAAATTTTATTAGTTTTAAGATTTAATATTTGTAAAATTAAATTTATATTCAAGCATATTTTTGTCGTAATTTTTTTAATTAAAATTTTGAACTTACCTCCCGGCCGCTTTGTTAAGGGCGTCTGGCGTATCGACGGCCGGCAAACTTTCGGTTTCCCATATTCCGGCACTGAACGAGAGATTCGAGGGCGACTCCGACTGACCGAGTGACTCGCCTTGGGGCTCGGCCGACTCCTTCCGAATGAAGGAGCAAGCGCCACCGACATTGATCGATGGATGGGTATTATTGGTACCGTCAGTCGATTCGCGACACGATTTCATTTCCGTTTGCGACAAAGTGGCTGACGAGGCGCCAATATTGTCGGGCATATAGTTGGTGGCATTCGGCGACGATGGTTGCATTTTGGCGGCGGCGAAGGCGATGGCACTGGCACTGGCGGATGCTCCCGGTCCTGATCCGGAGAAGGACACCTGATGGCCGGCAGACGCTGATGATCCGTTGCTACCAGATCGGAAGCCCAATCGATCCGCAAGTGGTTCGCTGATCGGCGTCTGGCCGTGAAGTGGTGCCCCAGTGGTGGCGGTGGTGCTGCTGCTGGAAACGGTGGCTGAGGGAGATGCTAGCTGCTGCTGGGTGGTCTGCTGGGAGTCGATTTGCGTAAAGTTACGGCTATTTGTGCGGCGTATAATCGTCAGTGAGCCGTGTCCTGCAAAAGGTCCGATGGGAACACAAAAAGAAGAATTTCATTTAGTTAAGGGCTGTTTTTTTTAGTTACTTTTCACTCTCACTATTGACACATTGATTACGATACTACTGGGATCTAATGAAGCTTGCAAAGGGTTCAAAAAAAGGGGACAGTGGATCAAAAAAACAAATATGGGGCTTAAACTTTATAAGTCAAGACTTGTTTTGAAAACTGGTAAAATAACCGAGATATTAATATTAATTTTTTCTTGTTTGTACCATATTTTTTCTGAAATATAATATTTAGTTTATAGTACCACTGTACCCTCTTCTTTGGCTATAAAAAAAATCATTGGAAAGTATCGAAAAGAAATCAATAATTTATTCCCATCATTTAAGGCCATTGTAGCATACAATTCTTTATTTAGTTTAACCCCAGAAGTGAAGGGCAAAAGCTTAACGAGCAGCGAAGTAAAAACCCTTGAAGAAGTTCCTTTTGGAAAAGCCATGCCCTTAAGCCACCCACTCTCCCTTAGCCCCATCTTAGCCTTCTCGTATCCCCTCTTGGCCGATGGCTGAGTGGCCTCATCCTAAGTTGGCTCTAAGCTGCCTTGCCGGGTGTGTCGAAAAAAGTGCAAAGGATTTATCTGGTAGTGTTTGTCAAGTGCCGAAGCAGGACGCAGAGCGCAGAAAGTCCTGCGGCAATCTATCTGCAAACTCCCCAGCATCCTCCTTGGCGGAGCTGGCTCGGCTGGGGGGGCGGGGAATCTTAACTGCATTCCATTTATTTTGACAGTGCAAGTTGGGAGCACCTCAGGAGGAGAAAGGTGACGGTAGCAGTCATAAAACCCGCTTTATGCTGCACTTATATTTATGTTACACCCGAGATTCCTTCGCTTAACTGCTAGATACGCCGGCAGTCTTTATCGACTCGGAGTCTCGAGTTTTTGGGATGAAATGTTTTATGCTCCTTTTACTGGCAACTCTTCACGTCCTTAATGACGCTCAACGCTCCATTTGCCCCCACAATGTTTTTCTTAGTCGGCGGGTAAAATTGCTGAGCTGGCTGACCCCATATCACCTGGGTTCGGCTAACGGCCAAGTGGAAATTGTTGGCAATTAAATGGGTCTTATGGCCATATAAAGTGCGTTTCGCGACTGGTAACATGATCGATGTACGCCCATCAATCTTGGCCGGAAATGCTTTAGATAGTGGAGCTGTCAGATGGAGTTGGCAAAGAAACTGAGGGCTATTATAATTAAGTAGATTATTTTCTCAAAAAAGAGTCCAATGTAGCCCAAGAATTTTATAAAATTAGTATTTAAAACAGACTATCATATTATTTATAGAGTTCTTTACATTCCTCAACCCTGCAATGAAAAACAAATTTTCCCAACTAATTAGGAAAAACATGCTGAGATGCATTTGTAATTAGACAATGCATCTCTAATCCTGGCACTGCCCCCCAAAGCACTCTAGCTGAATTCCCGCAATTTCCGAGCCATGTCGGGCTGACTTAGCCACCGAAATCTCCACCGCAGCTGGTGCAGGATACCCGGATGCTGGATTATGAAAGTGAAGTACAAGCGTTGCGGTGGCATAAAATGAAAATTATAATGCCAACCTCCCAGTTTTCTAACCGCCCATTGTCCCTGCTCGGATCAGATGATGAAATATGCAAAAAAGGACCACAAACATGGCCAGAACCTGCTCTCTGTACTTACTTGCCACTTGACCATTTATTGTCGCATTTGAGCCGATGCCCGCAAACTCGGTGACCGTGGGACTGGCTGCCTCTTGTCCGGGCGTAGTAGCTCCACCAACTGCCGCAGCGGTACCAGAACCAGCACCAGGTCCGTTTCCAGTCGACCCACTCGCTGCACCACTGCCAGATATGGCACCACTACTGCCGCTACCGCTTCCGCTTCCGCCGGCGGTGCCCGACCCAACGCTGCTCTCGTCCCGCTTGCTGGGCAAACTCTCCGGCGTGCTGGCAACTGAAAATGGGATGCAAAAATTATAGTTTAGTTTAAGGTTTTTCACAGATACTTTTTAAAGAAGAACCAGAAGAAATTTAAATCAAGTTTTTACACAAATTGTAAAACTATAAAGGACTTTATATAATGGTTCTAATTTCATTTTAATAAATCCAAATAAAACTCTTTAAAATGTAGATTTTTTTTAGTGTATCTATTCAGATGAATATATGCGTGCCAGTTCCAACAGGTCCCTGTGAGTGGCAATGGCAATCAGTATTCAAACTATAGTATCCCCGGTTGTATTCCCATCTACGTGAGCCCTAAATCCTTTTGTTGTCTTTCACTTTCTGGAAATCCCCATTTCTAATGCTCTCGGGCTTAGCCAAAGTGTATTTGTGTTGTGTATTTTGTTTGTTTCTTGGCCGAAAGGATACGAAACATATTCTTAGGGCTTTTCCTGATTCGAAATGGCAACTTTTACCTCAAAATAAACGATTGTAGCTTCAAGAGAGGTTTTGGTTTTGCTAGAATTTCTGCCTAAAGCATACTTTAAGGCAAAGTAGTAAAAAAGGTAAGTACTTTAATTTTTTTATTTTCTAAAGTTTATTATTTTAAGAGTATTTTTCCATCAACAATGCCTTTCACCAACTTCCGCGAATAAAAATTTTCTCGGGGCTTTATCCTTTTCTTCCGCTTCATCTTGTTTCTGGTCTTCCTTTGATTTGGCCTGGCTTATCCGTCTCCTTTGCCACTACAAGATTAGATTGAAATTGCTTTTGGTGCGTTGAAAGGATTTTATTAGGCCAAGTTAATACGCTTGTTTCTTATTATTTTCTGTTGTTGGGTGCAAGTTGCCAAGGCCAACAGCTGCGCGCCTTATTGCCAAAGTGGGGAAAACAATAAATGTTAATATATTTACAAAAAGATCACGAGTTGACTATATTTTTGTTTTAGTAAATTGTTTATTCAAGACGTGTCTTAGAACCTGGGAAGTCCCTGTTAGAGCAAAGAAATTACTAATTTCCGTGATTTATTAGTTTTAGTGTTTTTGCAAAAATGAATAGCTATTTTCCAGCTGTCAGTTTTTAGATCATACTTTAAAATAAACTTTAAATCGTTACTGTTCTTAGATAATAACATCCAAATAATCGACCAATGCTTGAAACTCTAAAAAAAAGCAAATTTTTAGTCGCATAATAGAACAGAGTTCATAAATTTTATTTTTTTTAAGAGAACATTTACTCATATATTTGCCTAGGTGCTTTTCTTACCAAATTAACAATAAAACAGGCTTAAATATTTGTCTTCACTTAGAGAGGCTATGTATACGCAGTCCCCTCCATATTTTTCTATAAATTGAATTAAACTGGCTGTGAAATTATTAGTCTTGTCGAGTATCTCCTTTCCATTCTTTGTGAACATGCGTTTCCTGATCCTCATTGTCCTGCCGCTTTTGGCCCTTTTGGCCCTGACTGAGGCAAACCAAACCGTCAATGCCCTGAAAGCGGAAGCCACTTGTGCATGTGCTCGCATACATAATCCAGTTTGTGGTACGGATGGCAGGACCTACAGCAATGCCTGCGACTTGAGTTGTGCGGCTACGCGTCAAAGAAAGACCATTCGCGTGGCAAAGAAAGGACGTTGCTGAATAAACTCCAATATTTTTAAGAAAAAAATCAATACAATCTAACAAAGATGAGGAAAAGAACTGTCTAAATTAAATATGTTTATAAAATCTAATTCAATAACAAACTCTATAGACCCCTTTCTACTAGGTTCTATTGACCCAAATGATTTTGTTGACACAAATGTTGGCATAGCTTTGCAAAAACTGAAATAAATAAAAGATAATACTCGAAAAATACTATGTCATTGAATATTTGTATTCTCGATTGTTCTTTATTTAAACGAACTTGGGCTGTTTATAAGGAAGATCCCCAAAGAGTCTTTGAAGTAATTTTGAATTTAATAAATATTTAAATAAAAAAAGGTTTGTGTTATTAACCTTAAAATAATAAATGCGTTTTGATTATTACCTTGAAATTCAATTGGCTATAATCACTTAACCCTTGACTAACAAATGGTAATAAATTTTGTCCATAAACTCACTCGTTCTGAACTTTGAACCGGTTTATTATATTTTTCAATTATTGGTACTATAATTAATTAAGTTGTGTAATTATTTAACTAATAATACTGACAGCAAATGACTTACTGGCCTGAAAAATATAGAAACCAATAACGAATCATACACCAGCCCATTAAAAGACCTTTATTGTTTCCTGAAGATTTATTGTTTTTTAAAGTTATACAGCATTAGTTATAATTTATTATCTTTTATTGATTTAATCTTTGACAGGCAACCCCTGGGGCCTCATGTGTTAAATTCGCCAATCACAGTGATCTATTTCTAGGTTATTGTTTTCTCTCAGTGTCGCATTATTTACGATTCGTATTTTCTGATAAGAACTTGAAACGCTATCAATTGCAATGTCGTCTGTTTGTGATGATAAGCCTATTTCTATATATTTCACACTGATGATTAATACAAGAGCACTGATATTAAATTCTTGGGTAATTCCGTTTCCAGTTGATCAGGTGGGGGGTTGATTTTTGGTATTTAGCAGTTGCCACTCCTCAGGATGCCCATGCTGCGTCCTTTGCGTGCCTCCTGGCGACGCTTGCACTCGAATTCGCATCGGTTGGGATACGTTTTCAGGTTGGAGCCGCACACAGGGTCGAAATTCCGGGGACAGGGGCAGATTGCCTTTTCCTCCTCCTCGGCACGGCTGGGTGAAATGGCCAGGGCCAGAACAAGGCACAGGGCCAATAGAATGCTTAGCAATTTCATGTCGTCGAAGTTAATCCACGTTCAATACTGACTAGCTATGGCTGTTTGACTCTTTTGTGGGCCTAATAGAGCTTTGGCGGGGTTCGATTTGACTTTTTATCTTATCATTTCCCATTGGGCTTTGAAGTTGTGGGGGATTTTTATTGGCTTGCTTTGCTTTTCTGACTAAAGCTGGAATAATTGCTCAATTAGGTGGCTAAAGCTTTGTCAAGTTGCCGTCTTTGGTACCTGAAGTGTAAATCATTTGCATAATTTATGGCCCGAAACGGAGCAAGGTGGTTTATTTATATTTTCATTATTATCGTTTAGTTAAATGACGCTAGAAAAAGCTCTTTCTCTTAAAGAGCTTTCTGTTCTCTTACGCTCTCTCGGCTTCCTTATCAGCGATCAGGTGGCACAAGGTAGTTTAGGAAATTTCCCGCTCTTAAAAAACGTGCCTCCCCACATTTCCCCACCTTTTTACGAGCCTCTTCAATAATTAATATGGAACGCCAGACTTTTGTCAGGCAATTTACACAATTGTGGTTCAATTTCAATTAATTTAGTGGCTCAGCCCCCGGGGGAAATTCAGCTAAGTAATGTTCAGTTATCGCATATCTATCGACATGAGAGGTCTGTTTCTGGTTTTAATGCTCTTGGTTTTTGCCATCGTGGTGGCCCGGGCCCTCAATTGTCAGCCGTGTAAACTACTGGAGGCCCGAAAGGCGCACGCCAACGACACCCAGGCCCCTCAGCCCAAATAGTATTGGCAAAAGCTAGTGGAAGATGCGATCCAGAGAGCAGCTAGCAATTATAAACAGCTTGTTTGGTTAATTAGCAAAACCTACGCACACTTGTGCTATTACAAACTTTTGGAGGTATATAATGTGAAACTTGGAAACAAACAGAGATTCGGAAGCTCAGTTTCAGTTGAGCATTCGCGGCGATAAGACGAAGACCCCGACTTCCCAGCATTCTTATTCAATATTGGAAGAAATCTCAGAGGAGCGACAATGAAGTGCCTTTCTTTGGTTCTGGTTGTATTGGCCTGCCTATTTGTGGCCTTTTCGGAGGCCAGCTACTGCCCTTGTGACCTGTCCCAGAAGGGCGAAATTTGTGGCAGCAATGGAGTTACCTACAAGAATCGCTGCGAGTTCGAGTGCACTCAACGCGAGTACCGGAAACTGGGAAGAGCTCTAAACCTCAGAAAATTGGGAAGATGCAACACGGACTAAAACGGAAGCTCTTTATTTAAAATATTATATTAAAAATATAAAAAATATTCCAAATATGATAAATAGTCACTGTGCTTTAAAATATTTAGAAACTATTGTTTGAATAAATGGAATCTAATAAAACATAATAGCAAAGAGTTATTTAAACTTGGGGGGAAGCCATCACCATGAGGTCATCATGGAGAAGCTCAAGATTTTATTATAAAATCAATTATGTGAATCATTTCTGTCCCCCAAGTGCCCAATTTTATTTCCAAAATCAGTATCTGTGCAAAGCGCATTCAACTGAATCGAATTATATAAGTATGCAAATAAAACGCCATTCAATGCTAATTAAAAGCTGTGTTTCCAGTGCGTCATCACCTCGGTTAATCAATTGAGGGAGCTCGTTTCCAGTGGCACTCCAAGTCGCTCACACAGTCGCCTCACGCACATCAATCAAATTTATGCATAATTAATCGTCCGCCAGCCCAGAAGTCTATCCCCTGGGACTGCCGATTCCTGATGACTTGGGCTGTGATTTATTAACTCGACACGGAGGCTTGACTAATTGAATTTCAATACGTGCGACACAAACATCAGAATTGGGTGCAAACACAAGCCACCCACAAAAATCAGCCAAAAAAAAAAAATACAATAATAAAAAACCGACTAATCACAAGTCTCGGAGAGCAAGTGTAATGGGCCAATTTTATGAGGCTTAGGCGACTACCGTTTACTTTATGACAGGAAGCTGTCAGCTGCCCGGAATTCGCTTTTTCCAGAATGTTATTAAAAAGATAATAATGGACGAGTGGAATCATGACACTAAAAGGGTTTTATCTCAGGGGCGGGGCAATGAGCGAAGTTATCCAAATTAGAACTTTCATCACAACAAAAGATAAACAAGACGTGTCATAAAAATTGGATACTGAGTATACTATTCCGGGCACCTAACCGGGCTTTCAAAACAGGCAATACTACGGAAGTATGAGTGATAACATTGTCATATTTCCACTTTATAAACAAACATATATTTCTTTAAAAATTATAGAAGAATTAAGATTATTAGGAATCGGTAAGGAAGAAGGAATTAAAGGAATTAAAGTATTCGACCAATTAGGTATAGAATGAATTTTGAAAATAGTCCCAAGCTAGTATCTGTATCTTATCCGAAAGAAAATCCATTAGAAAGGGGTGACTTTGAAAAGGCTTTATCCTAAGGGTTTAATAATAAAACCAACATAACTTTGAATACTTAATAAATTGTATACTTTGCAATAATATTTCTCTAAGCTTGACATTGCCCCAAAATTTCTCCAAATGCGTTGAAAGTTATTTTCAGAAACAATCGGCTTATTGGCCAATTTGAGTAAACACCAATATCTGTACTATGTATTTACGTTAATATTAATATCAGTCAGTGACTTGGATGTCGGCTTATCTGACGGACTCTAAGCAGATAATATTATAATATTCTGCCGAAAGAGGATTGCCTCGCCAGCAGGCATAACAATAAAAGCTTTGCGATGCCAAAGGTCGGAAAAACAGGCGAAATTTGTTGGGAAATTTACATGAGGAACCCCAATACATATAGAATACATATATGACAACGGCAATCTCGACAAATGACAACACGAACCTACAGATACGGCTGCCGGAGTTGTTGTAATCGATTTGTGATAACAAGTATTTGATAAGCGTAAACGTATTGACAACATCAAATAGCAAAGCATCCCAAACCAGAAAAGTAAAAAAAAAATGCTAAAAGTAAACCCGCCCAATTCGAATTTATTGATGCTTAAGGGTTGTCAAAAAAAGAAAACAGAAACCTACGAAGGGACTTTGGAAAAATGAGGAAAAATACGAGCGATGGAAAATTCGTGGCATATGTTTGGGCGCGTGTTCCAAATTCGTAAATATCTGGGGCTACCTACCGGATTAGCAGGAACTGATTTTTAATATACTAAGGCAGGCTGCCACTGAACATTTTTGTGATATGATTAAATATTTACATAATAAAAAATGTAGGCTGTGTGTATTTACTTATTTATTCGCGCCAAGGGGGATGTCGGTGTGATGAAAATTGAAAAGTGCTTCACAACTGCAGCTCCTCTGATACAAAAGGCTCGTTTTTTTTTTATTTTTGGGAGCTCCCATCCTTTGGAATTTTTTTAAAAGGCAATTCAATCAGCGCCGCGACATGAAAGGTAAACCCTGTTGTCCTGTCGTCATCGGAGCGAGGAACCCACAGACAGGCGAGACAGGCGCAGGACAGGTGAGTGGGATTAGTTCGAGTTTTCGCTTTAACTTTTCACTTTCTCTTCCCCAGGGGGACGGAGTGGGAGGCCAACCAGGAGGTGCGGTCTCCAAATTACGGCAAATTTTCTTCGCTTTGATTTTTGGTAAATGGCAAAGGACTGGAATTTGGAATCTCAATGCGAACAACAACAGCCCAGCCACGCCCTGTGTCAAACCCTTTTCATGTCTGTGGAAATTATGCCGATTTCACCAGAGCTTCAAGTAAAGATTTCTACACAAATTTACGCTGAAATTTTCAATATAATCAGGAGCCAGGAGCCAGGAGCTTGCCTCGCAGCGTCTGAGAAAGCCCTTTTGTCTTGTCGGTTGCTGTTTTTTGCATTGCGGCGAAATGTTTAATTAAGCTGCCAGAGCCAGCTCCCAGGGGCTGGAAGGGGGTTTCCTTCGAGCCAAGTTCCATTGGGCCACTTGGGTCATACAGCGGAAGTTGGCGGTTAGAATGCTGAATTGCAGGATAATAAATATTAGACATGGGGAGTTAGTCCTCGGGATGATACTCGAAAATCTGAAAGTTGCCATCCCAAGAAACTTTGTCGTTTATAAATATGTTATAAATATTTTTAATAAAAAAATAAATTATTATATGAAATAAGGTTTTATTATCAAAATTATGTTATTAATTTTTTGGCTTTAAAATTATGTTTCAAAAGGCACCACGCAAGCCTTTTCCCCTTTTTTTCAATCAAAGGTGATTATTTTATAATTATAGAAACTAGATTAAAAGAAGTGCCCGATTATAACGATTCCCATTAGTTTGTTGGTCACTAAACATACAAATTGAATCTATCATAATAAGCTCAATATTTATTTGGAATCCTTTTTACGTCCAAGGTGGCTTCCCCTTGAAGATGATTTGTTTGTTCGATTGTTTGACCAACTGGTCAGCTTAGAAGGCTTGAATATTCAAACAAGTTCAAAGCCAACTGCCCAGTGGAGTAATTCCGTTCAATTTGCTCTACAAAGTGTTGTAACAGTTGGTCAATTAATGGAGCTATCGAGGCGTCGAAAAATAAAAGCAAAAAAACACAAAAACCGGAACTGAAACCCCGGCAACGGTATAAAAGCCCGGCAAAGCAGCAAATGATAACGGAAAACAAGTTTGAACCTCAACGGAGATGGGTGTGACGAAAGTGTTGGTCATTCTGCTGAGTGTGGGCCTGGCCGAAATCCTGGCTCATAACCATCAAACCAAGGATCAGGATGCTAGAAACAATTGGTGGCAGCACGAGGTCTTCTATCAGATCTATCCGAGATCCTTTCAGGACAGTAACGGTGATGGCATTGGTGACCTGCCGGGAATTACCTCAAGGCTGCAGTACTTCAAGGACACTGGCATTACGGCTGTCTGGTTAAGCCCCATCTACGAGTCCCCCATGGTGGATTTTGGCTACGATATATCCAACTACACGAATATACAGCCGGAGTACGGCACCTTGGAGGACTTTGATGCCCTGATAGCCAAAGCCAATGAGCTGGGGATTAAGGTGATCCTGGACTTTGTGCCGAATCACAGTTCCAACCAACATCCCTGGTTCCTGAAGTCCGTGGCCAGGGAACCGGGCTATGAGGACTTCTATGTGTGGCAGAATGGCACTCAGCTGGAGAATGGAACCCGGGTGCCACCCAACAATTGGTTGTCGGTGTTTTCTGGCTCTGCCTGGGAGTGGAACGATGAGAGGCAGCAGTTCTATCTGCGACAGTTTACTTTCGGACAACCCGACTTGAATTACCGCAATCCGGCCGTTATCCAGGCCATGGACGATGTGATGTTATTCTGGCTCAACAAGGGAATCGCAGGATTCCGCATCGATGCCGTTATTTACATCTACGAGGATGCCCTGCTGAGGGATGAACCCCTGAGTGGCTCCACCGACGACCCCAACGTGGAGAACTATCTGAACCACATCTATACAAGAAACCAGCCCGAGGACTATCTTTTGCTGCAGCATTGGAGACAGCTCTTGGATAATTACACAGCCAGTCAGGGAGGTCCTCGAAGGATAATGATGACCGAGGGGTATGCCACAGTGGCCCAACTAATGGAGTACTACGAGGATGCCAATGGGGTTCAAGGGCCGGAGTTTCCGTTCAACTTTGATTTCATCACGGAGGTCAATGAGAACTCCACAGCTGCCGACTTTGTGTTCTACATCCAGAGGTGGCTCATCTACATGCCACACGGTCATGTGGCCAACTGGGTGATGGGGAATCACGATAATCCCCGAGTGGCCTCCCGCTTTGGGGTGAAATCAGTGGATGGCATGAATATGTTGCTGATGACGCTGCCAGGAATAGCCATTACCTATAATGTTGGTCTTGAAACTCTCAACAGGTAACTTTTATTAATTCGCTTTCCATTTTTAGGGTGAGGAACTGGGAATGACGGACTATCGGGACATCAGCTGGGAGGACACTGTAGATCAGCCTGCCTGCGAGGCGGGAAGGGACAACTACAAGGCGATTTCCAGGGATCCAGAACGTACTCCCATGCAGTGGAGTGATGAACAGAATGCTGGGTTCTCCACTTCGAATCACACTTGGCTGCCTGTAAACCCCAACTATAGGGACTTGAATCTTCGTAATCAGCAACAGGCTAGACAGAGTCACTACAAGGTCTATCAGTCTCTTCTAAAGCTTCGACAGTTGCCAGTCCTGAAGAATGGTTCCTTCGTTCCAGAGGTGGTTAATAGCAGAGTATTTGCTTTTAAAAGGTGAGTTTTTCAAGAAAATGTTAGTGTAAGAAGAATATAATTAAATGGAATATCTTTCTAGGGAATTGAAAGGCGAACACTCTTTACTGACCCTCCTGAACGTAAAGAATCGCACCGAACTGGTGGACCTCACTGACTTCATCGATCAACCCAACCGCCTGAGTGTCCTTGTGGTGGGTGTCGAGTCCCAACATCGGGTGGGAGATCGCCTCAAGGCCGAATCAATAGCGCTGGCCCCCTTCGAGGGCCTCGTCATTCAGCTGAACAAGCGAAAATAATTAGCATAAAATTAGGTATTCGAGAAACTTTCCATTGCGCTAGTGGATGGAACGAACGGACTTTTCTATTTCTGATTTAAAATGTATCTCGGCGGACAATCTAATTCGAGTTTCCATTTCATTTGACAGCAAAACACATTTCCATTTTACATTAAAGCCTCGCAAACATTTTAATTGAATTGAGAGCACTTGCTGTCCGGTCCGACCCGCGACCCGAGTTCCATGGCCTTCAGTCGCACTTTCTCTTAAAATTCAAACTCGTAATTCATAATTGTCATCAGGTCTTGGGTTTTTTTGGGTCTGGGGGATGGGTAGCTGATAAATGGTCGTTGTATTTCATTAAATTCTGAGAGAACACAAATAAATGCGGTTGCTAACGGGCCACTGCTTTGTTGTGATTTCCTTTATTTATTTTGATCTTTTATTTCTTTTATTTAATAATGTTTCATTTATTTTCCTAATAAACTTTTGTAAACCAAAATGAAATGTGATTTAAAGAGGGGTTCTTTCTGAAGAGAAAATTTGAAGGTTTTGAAATCATAAATGGGATGAAAATGGAGCTGAAAGTTTATCCATTTAATGTGTCAGGCATTATACTATCAGCCATCTTTTTTTTTTTTAGCTTTATTTTATATAATCTCAATATACCATAAAATAGTGTATAAAAATTATTTTTTATATATTCTACCAGAAGCTACGATTTTTTGTTTTAATAATTACATATTTTAGTTCTTTTTTATATGAGCAGAAGGATAAAACAGGCTAATATAGCCAACAATCATAATCCGATTTTGTGCCACCCTCTAGCTTTTGGAGCTCCTCTAGCTTGTGGATCGAAAGCTTCCACAACAGCTGATATTAATATAAACAAAAGCTTTTAGATGATCGCCGGCGGCTGCCAAAAGTGCCTCAAATAAAGTTTAGTTTTGATTTGTATTCTCATCTTCCCAGGTGAGCAAAGGTACTTCCACAGCTGACAATTTTCAATAAAAAACAAATCAGTTTTCCACCCACAAAATAATTTATAATATACATATTCGCTTGACAAGTGCATCGTGCCGTAAAATTGGCAGAAAACAAATTTGTTTACTCGTTTAATTTAGAGCGACAGCTAGTGATTGTGCAAATTGTTTGGATTCCAGCTGATAAGCATCTCGCACACCCAATTATAGACTTAATGCGACCGCCGATAATTAGACAAAGGCTAGTGCAAAAATTATTTTAATTATACGGCTAAAATCGGCCTTAAAACCGGCCAGTCCAACAGCAAAGTGGGTAGAACGCCACGAACCGAAAACTTGGCCAAAATGACGATCGCTCCACTCATCCAAATCCTTCTTTTTAGTCTACTGCTGCAACGAGAAACCGGAGGCGTCATGTCCGGCTTGGTGAAGAGCGATTCGGAGGACTTTATCGACTGGTGGCAGCACACGGTCTTCTATCAGATCTACCCGAGGTCCTTCAAGGACAGCAACGGCGATGGCATTGGCGATCTGAGAGGGATTACCTCCCAGCTGCAGTATCTGGCCGATACTGGCATTTCCGCCACCTGGCTGAGTCCCATTTTTCAGTCGCCCATGGTTGACTTTGGTTACGATATTTCGGACTACAAGGCTATCCAACCGGAGTATGGTACCATGCAGGACTTTGAGGAGCTCATCGACACCGCCTACAATTTGGGCATCAAGGTTGTTCTGGACTTTGTCCCAAACCACAGCTCGGATAAGCACGAGTGGTTCCTAAAATCTGCTGCCAAGGAGCCGGGCTTCGAGGACTTCTATGTGTGGCACGAAGGAGTCCTGGAGGACAACGGCACTCGATCGCCGCCAAACAACTGGCAGTCCGTGTTCTACGGATCCGCCTGGGAGTGGCACGAGGGGCGGCAACAGTACTACTTGCATCAGTTTACCAAAGAGCAGCCCGACCTGAACTTCCGGAACCCAAAAGTGGTCCAGGCAATGGACAACGTGATGCTCTTCTGGCTAAACAAGGGGGTGGCTGGCTTCCGCATTGACGCCGTGAATCACTTGTTCGAGGACGAGTCGCTGCAGGACGAGCCACTCAGTGCCAAGACCCAGGATCCATTGTCGTACGACTACACCCGACACATTTACACCAAGGATCTTCCCGAGGTGCTGCAAATGGTGCAGCACTGGCGGAAGCTGTTGGATGACTTTAGTGCCAAACACCCGGAGGGGCCCACTCGCATCATGATGACGGAGGCCTACGCCGGACTCACCCAGCTGGCGGACTACTATGAGGACGCAAACGGGACGAAGGGCTCCCATCTGCCCTTCAACTTCCATTTCATCACGGATGTCAAAGGGGACTCGGATGCGCGTGACTATGTTTACAATGTGGAGAAGTGGCTGATCTACATGCCGCGCGGGCATGCGGCCAACTGGGTCATGGGCAACCACGACAATCCCCGCGTGGCCTCCCGCTTTGGTCCCGCCAGCGTGGACGCCATAAACATGCTGCTCCTCACCCTGCCCGGCGTGGCTGTCACCTATAACGTGGGCTGCTGGTCGGGCGTGATTTGGTTATCCATCTAATCCCTGCCTCTTTCCAGGGCGAGGAGCTGGGCATGGAAGACTACCGTGAAATTAGCTGGCAGGATACTGTGGATCCACCGGCCAAAAATGTTGGAGAAGAGCTATACCAGGAGGTCTCCAGGGATCCGGAACGAACGCCGTTTCAGTGGAGTAGCCAAAAAAATGCAGGTGAGTTTGCTTTTCTCTCTAGAAGATTTTCAAAAAAATTGAATATTTCCTTTTAGGGTTTTCCGATTCGCCAAAAACCTGGCTGCCAGTTCATCCCAACTACCTGGAACTCAACTTGGAGGCCCAGAAGTCGGCCAACAAAAGCCATTATAAGGTATACACTGATTTAATTGAACTGAGGAAGTCGGCAATTATGCGACTGGGACGATTTAACATCGAGCCCCTATCACGTTGGGTGTTTGCTTTCAAGCGGTAAGTGTCTGAATTGAATTCCTAATCCACTTACCTTCTTGGAAACCTATTTCTGTTTCAGAGAATATCCTAATTTTGAATCGATAATAACCATTATAAATGTAAGTGACGAGGAGCAGCTGGTGGATCTCTCAGAGTTCCTCAGCCAGGCCAAGAAATTGGTTGTGGAAATATGTGGAGTGGACTCCAAGTACAAATATGGGTGGGTGTTTTCAAATAGTTTTAGTTTTGAATACATTCATATTCAAGCCATTTCCCGCTTTCAAATCCCTTTCTTTCGGTGTCCTGCTGCAGCCAATCCCTGGCCGCTAGTGCATTGCTCCTGGCCGCCCGCGAAGGACTCGTCTGCAGGCTCGTCTAGCCAGAATTGGATTAGAGGAATTACCAGCTGATGGCGGCAAACTTTCCTCTTTAATTGCATTTCCAGTTCAAAATGTCACGCGATTGAATACAAAATGGGCGAAAATTAATGACTCTTCAGTTCAGTTTGCTTTTTTTTTTGTGTTTCTGCGACCATAGATTGAATTGAACCCAGAACAGTGTTAATGAAGGAAAGAAGGGAGGTGCACAGGGGCCGGTCTTTGGGTCCTGACCGGAAAAACTGGCCACAACGTCGCCTGTGCCTGGCAACTTGCCCAGAACTCGGCCACTGGCTGATGTTTGTATTTCATTCCCGGCCTGGCAAATGTAATTTTTCATGTATAGGATGTATGGGATGTGGACAGAGAACACCCACGGGCCGACGAAAAAAAAGGAAAAGATTTATGGAGCTGAGGCAGATTTCTCCTGAAATTCGGAAATGTCGGAGGGAATATATGAAATTGCATGTAAAAGTTTTAAAATGTCGTTTAATAACTGAATTAAATGTTTGCGATAAGTTTGTGAGTGAGTGCTTGATAGTTTGTTGGAAAGTTTTGATTGCCCAATATGCACTGAAGTGGCAGTTAGTTTGGATAAGAGTGTAATAGTTTACAATGTAAACTTTATATAGTAATTGTCATAGAATGTGCATAAATATTTTAATGGGTTTTCTTTACATGAGTAAAAGTTCGTCTAAGAAATGTTCAAAAAAACTAACATTAATTTTATTTTTCATTTAAATTCAAATAATTATGTACCTCAAATAATAGCTATAAAACGCATAATATATTTAATCTTAATACTCTGAAAAATTACATTTTTAAAAATTCCCATTCACATTTCAACGTCCGGTAATTTAAAAGTTCTCGAGGCTTAACCGATTCACACAAGTTTAAATATTTCATTGCCAATGCGGCAGGTTGGGCATGGGATTTGGGGCAGGTGGTAGTCGGTAGAAAGCAGGAGGCAGGGGGCAGAGGTGGTAGGCTTCCATCGGATTAAAAGTATATATTGCTGTCTATATGCCCCGCTGCGTTTCGTTTCATTTCGTTTCGTTTGGGGCGAGGTTTTCCTTTCATTTCCCCTGGTGCAGAGTGAAGTATTAAATATAAACTATTTGAATAATTTAGCGACATCATTCTGGGAGACGGCGGCGGCGGCCGACTTAATCTGGCTCCCCGCGGGGGAATTGTGCTGAGCGAGCGGAGCGGCAGGATAATGAGGTGAGTCCGGAGCCGACAACTCTTTGCCCGAGTCATTAAGCTCTTATAATTATAATTATTATAATTATTGTTCCTTCTTTCAGCGAACGGAGACGCACTCTGATTAAGCAGCTCGTCAAGTCTGGAAATGTGGTTTTGGTTGCTTTGCTGGTCTACAATTTGTGGCGCCACAAATGGACCAAAGTGAACTTCAATCAGCAACGATTTTGATTGATTTTAGCCCGTTCTGTGCTGGGCCCTGCTTGCTGATTGATTGATTGATTAATTAATTAATAAAACGTACATCAGCTTAAATGTCATTAACAGTTGGCGGGGACTAACGACTCCTGAATGTGGCCGACGGGATTTGCAAATTTAATTTCCTCCACCGGGGAGTCTGTCGAGTGATAGATTGATTTTTCTGCCACTGGTATTCGGTGTTCGGTAGAGTGTTTCCGATTAAGCGAGTATTGTTTATATTAATATAATTATTTTTTAAAGCATAAATACGTTAATTATACGAGAATTTATTAAAAGGAAAATGGTGATGAAGGTTGTGAATAATTAATTGTCATTACGGATGGCATATCTTCGAAGGAACTTAATAAATATTAATGGTATAATATAAATGGTTAAAACCATGGGAATAATATTATATTTAAATATCAGATGCTCGATAAACTATAGTTCTACCTGTGTAGAACCTTAACTAAGGGCGGTTTTTAGCTCCAAGGGTATATAAAGTTTGCACCCCCCCAAGGATAGCTTTTCTTGTTAAATCGAATCTATTTATTCTGTTTTAATTTTTGTAATATATAAAACTTCAAATAAGCTTCTTATAATCCTCTTTCTATACCCATTTAAATGACTGAGATTTTCCGCGTTGCCATGACTGTAAAAACACTTTTCCACCAGCTCAGCGTTTGACACACTGCCATGGCAAAAAGCAAATAAATGTAAGTGTTATCCTGCCAGTGTTTTTACTCAGCGCTTTACAAATCCGTCTCTGATCCGGCGGAGAGGTCTTCTCTGCCAGCTGCACTTGAAACTAACAAACTTGATAAATTATGTCCGCCCGACAGCCCACGAAGAGGGGGAAGTGTCAACCGTCGTTCTTATTCAATTTGTAGCCGCATTCAAATAGTTGTGCGATTTAGGAGGACAAGCTTAACGCATTGATGCCTCCGAACAGAAGAAATACCAGCTACGTAGTAGGGTCTCCAAGAGCTGAAGGCTTACAGCCATGGCAACTGCAACCGGATATGCCAATAAAATTACGGCCAAGTGCCTGCAAATTAACCCGAGCGCGAAACAGGCAAAGACAACAAGGATCTCTCGGCAAGTCAATGATTTACTTGGGAACTGCGTCTCAGCTTCTCTCTCGGAAGTCTCTTTCACAGATACATGATATGCACTCAGGGAGCTTGTTCCAAGTTCTGTTTGAGCTTCAAGGCTAAAAGCAAACAGGAAATGTATTTTCAAGACCATGTTAGGGCTGTGTTTAGTTTAGGTTAAAGGAAACAGTAACTAGCTTTTAAAGAGAAGGTTTCTCTCACTTAGTAGACCTGCCAATTGTAAGCCCTCAACTTTAATAAAAGACTTTTATTTGTGAAATGTTACCAAGTCCTTAAAAAGTTTAAATTACGTTTAAGTTTACTTAGTCAAAACATTTGCGAAAACGCAAGTTCTGATCATCTTGCTGGCAAGTGTCTCGAGATTCTGGGGAAATTGAGTTGCAAATTATGGCAAGGACACCTCGCCAGGACTGCCAGTACAACGACGTCGCACTGTCTGGCTGGTTTTTTGTTCGCCGTGTCCTCTGTCCTTTGCTCCCTGACATTTGAGTTGAGCAGTTGGCAAACAGGACGAACAAGCACACACCCAGACACCGGCGTACAACGGGGCGTATGTGTGTTTAAGCCTTTGTGCTAGTTAGCCAAATTGTAGCGGCAAACAGCATGTTCTACGAAAATCTGCGACAGAATGGGCGACGGACGACGTGCACCTTGGGCCTCTCTGTAGAGAACAGAGAGGCCCAAAGTGGCATCCTTGCGGGCATCCTTTCCACAAAATGTTCAGCATCCTTTCGGCGCGTGTGCTTCTGTTTCTGGCAGCCGCCGCCATTTTGGGCTTTTCCTATATTTTATGGATTTTTTTTCTGTTTCCAGTTTTCACTTTTTGTTCGGCCTCGGCTACATAAATTTCGCAGACAGTCGGTTGGCGCCACTTTTAACTGTTTTTAATTAAAAAATTTCCAGCTTTCGGGCCATTGGTAATCAGTTTTATGTCTGCATGTGTGCGTGTGCTACGAAGGGTTTAACGAAAATTGATTTTAAGCCTTTTCTTTCTTTTATTATTATGGCTGTCGCTGACACTTGAAAGAAAAAGTTGTCCCTCGGCGACCAAGGCAAATTGATTGCCAATTGAGAGGCCATTGCCATAAAAGGAAAACACAAGGGCCACAAAAAGAGGACACTGAAAGGATGCATATATTATCCTTTAAGGCTGAAGGCACTGCCACTGGCACTGGCCATGCTAAAATTCAATGAATCCCACCCACATGCCCATAAAAGTTAATGTTTGTATGCGAGTGTGTGTATGCGACTGTGTGATGGCTTTCCGTTTTCTGCTCCTGTCTCGTCCTTTGTCGCATTCCTTAGCATTCGAAGAATTTTTGAGCGTTTTGTGTTCGAGCGGAATTTATGCAAATTTGATGAAATTTCCCTGTCGTCCTGTCGTCCTATCCTTGCCGAGAAAGCCTCTGAACTCTATACGGTGGCAGGTCAAGGCATTTCAGCGATGCGGTCGCTTATTGCTAGGCCTGAGAATATGCCACGGATTCTGGTAATTCAGGATTGAAAGTTCCTGCAAAGTTTGGGCGTTAATTTGGGTTAAATTATGGTTAAAGTTTTTTTATTCTTTGGAAGACGTTTGACTTGTTTGGAGAGGACTTCAAGCAGAAAACCCCATTTGTTGTTCATCCTTTCTAAATTATATTTCCTCAAGACAAAGAGTTTTTTCTATTATTTGTTATAATTTAAAAGAGACCCCCACCCTTTCTTGGCTTTTTTCAATCGATATTCATTAATGAGTCATTTTTTACGCCTCCCTCGCTTTTGTTTTAATTTAATTACTTAAAACTCATTTCACAAAATTAGCCAATGCCCCAAAACGAAAACCCATTCAGCCACAAACTAAATGAGCCACTTAACCCTTTTTCGCTTATTTTCCTCCCAGAAAGGAAAAAGGAGCGGGACCATCTGCTGTCTGCCAGGACATCAATTAGCCGCCTATGGGTCGAAGTTGTCGATGTGGCGTTCAACTTGTCGGCGGTACGCTTGATCGGCCAAGCGATGCTTCCAGCCAGACAAGAAAAGGACTTGATTCAGAAGGCCTCAACCCTCAGATTCGGATACACACCCATCTGTCCACCCATCCATCCATCTGCCAAACAAGCCAGTCATCCCGCCCCAGAAAACGGACAAAACAAATTGAGGGCCATAACCGGTAAAAGGGCGAAAGACAAAACAGCCGCGACCAGGACAACAACAAGTGTAATATGTCAATTGAAGGACACTTCACCCCAAACATACACACACAGTGATACCCGCAAACACTTGACTATTTATTGCATTTCTGTCTGTGTTGTCGCCGCAGGATATTCCACGGATATTTGCAAAAATATTGCAGCGCCCATAAATTGAAAGCCAAAAGGACAGACGGCCGCACAGCGACTTGGCTAAAAAGGCACAAGGCATAAGCACACACAAAAAAAAAGGCTAAGATTGCCCCAATCGGGGGGCGTGGCTTTTGGGACTGTGGGGTTCAAACTCGACTTGGCCCGGCTTTGTCTCAAAATCGCCGCACGATTTGTGGCCGCTACGTGACCGGGGCAAACGACCCACCCCAGGACATGGCCAGGACATGGCCCGGACATTCGAAGGCCCATCCTGACCTTGGGCTAAAGGAATAGGTATATATTCGGAGGGAAATGTTTAATTTTTGCTATTTATGTAAAAGGCATAAATAAGTAGAAAGTTAACAAAGGATTTGCGGAACAAAATTCTTAGAAAAAGTTTTGAAAATTAAATGTTTGTGGCAGAAAGCATTTAAACTTGATATGAGAATGGAATTAAGTAGAATAACTTTAAGGATTTCAAGGCTTTTGTAATCGAAACAATACCACATTCTTAGTCCGTTTCCCAGGAGAACTAGAATCTAGAAAAGCAATCCAAAGCATACGTGGTCCAATATTCATAGACAATCCATTTTTGAATTTTGTGAATTTCCCAGAGTACTCCATCAGAATTTGGCCAATTCATTTGTCTGCCAAATACAATTCATGAATTTTAGTCTCAAATGGACGGAGCCCATTCACATTTGGCTTACAAGGACTACGCCGGGCAGCTTATTGGCCAAAAACCAGTAGACTGACCAGTAGAGTAGCTCGGTAAACTCAGTTAAAAGCAGAAGGAAGCTTCGGAGGGGCATCTAAACAAAATACAAAACCTCTTTTTCTCTCTATGGAGGGAAAACAGTAAAGCCATCATGAATATTCTTCTAAACACACTCACATACACCAGTGGTTGGCCAACAGAAGGCGGCTATCAAGCTTGGCCAGAAGGGCTGCCACTCACATTCGACCAAAACCGAACTTTATTCACCTGGCCATAGACTTGGAAATTTTCCCATTTGTAGCCATCCATCGTTTCCTGTAAAATATGTGTACCCCTGGCGTATACGCAATTTGCTGGGAATCTAAGCATTGTTGTTGGCCGGGAGGGGGGGAGTTGGCCCGGAAATCTGCGTGGCATATGCAAGAATCATAAAAAGTTTCTCATAAATTTTTTACCTCAAACCCCGGTAGAGAGGACCGGTTGGCCAGGCCAACAGCAATCCTAAATGAATTGTTGCTACCCGGATGGGTAGCATTCGAAGAGCAGGAGTGATGAGCAAAAGGTCGCCAGCGGGGGCACGGGAGAGGTCTTAACTTTTATAATAGCCCAACTCGTTGGAAATTCAATTTCATTTTCAATTTAATGCTGCAACGAGCCACGAACGTACCTGCTCTAAAGAGAATTGCCCTCAATCCGCTTCTTTATGTGGCGCCCTTTTTATATTTTTTTGTTGCCATTTGAATTGACTTACCTGAAATGAAATGATAGAGAAACAAAGTTACACAAATATACAGGTATTATTTTATGCGTTGTGCTGACAAGAATGAGTTGCTCGAAATTAAAATGTGACCGGGGAAAGTGGAAGAGTTTTCAGTTCCCAGGGACGTTCAAATAAGCTGTCCAGGACCAGGCAAAAGCTGGTAACAAAAGCCACTAGCTCTCAAGGTGACTTTGGGGGGTCTTATTGTTTTAATTTTAATTAGGGTCTTAACAGTATAGCTTATTAATGTTTTTCCTTAAAACTTGTTTACCCTAGCATTATATCAATCTCACCATTTTGTCTGAAAAAGTTCCAAGCCCTTTACCACTTACCTATAACATAGGAGTACCCGTCCAGCGTCAGGACGCACTTGCGGGTGGTGGTGCCCCCCAGACCGCCGGTGCCCAGGACGCTGACGCCGATGCCGCCGCTGCCAGTGCCAGCCGCGCCGGACGGGTACCTGGAGCCGGATAGACGTGCTGCCGTCTTGCCAAAGCTGCTGGAGAATGCCACCGGACTGCCGGCCTCGCAGTTATTGAGACTTTCGCGACGCGGCTGTGGCTCGAGACCGACTCCGAACTCCTCCCGCCGGTTCTCAGACGAGACCAGACCGTCGCTGGAATGATCGCGCTTCTGATCGCGTTCCGCGTGACGCAACCGATTCCGGGGACATCTCGCCGCGGGAATGGCTATAGAGGAGGCGGGAGAAGATGCCGGGGCGGAGCTGGGAGTGGAAGCGGTACCCCTACCCGGCTGCTCTTCCTCGTCGTGGCCAATTTTCAACGTTTGCGGTTTGTCGCGGCGCGTGGGCGGAGTCTCGTCCAAAGTGTCGCCCATTATTGTGTTTTTTTTTCAGCGAATTGCGATTTGGATCGGCACGCTCGTTATAAATCGGCGGTATTTTATTTATATCTCGAAATGCATTTTACGAAACCGTGGGAAACTCGTTTGCCTTGATGTCGAAGTACGCCAGATGAATTTGTATTTTAATTGATATTTTATTATATATTTCTATGCATTTTTATTCACAATGGAAATTCACTTTCAATAAATGGATTTTTACGATGTCTTTTGCGTTCAAACAAAAAAGACTTTAAAAAACAAATGAAAGTGAGATTGAATGTCACAGTTCTTCCAAAAAATCATATATATATTTAAATAAAAATAAATCGGTTTATGTTTTTATAAATTTTTATCACAATCGGATGGATATTTTTGATGACATTCTACTGGTTTATGGCTTTCTGAAGGCCTCTTTAATATGCAAAATATTTTTGTAATGCAAATTCCATATGTCTAGTGTATATGGACGTGGCTTTAATTGCATTTTTTGTTCATTCTGCTGTCAATTATTTGGTTCCCTGTCTATTGCCTGTCCACTCTGCTCCAGCTCATTCTGACTGACATTGTTTGCCGTCATTTGATTCCGATTTTTATCGCCACTGGCACGGATACCAGCCCGGGATTTCTTTTTCATTTTTGCATATATGTCATAACGCTCGGCCATTCATCAGAAATCCGTCAATGCCAAATGGCTTTCCCTGTACTCCCCTTTATTACGATTGTTGTTTGTACAAATAGAAACATATAGCTCGTGAAACGATTTGTTTTATAGCATTACCAATGTCAACGCCTGAAGTTTTGTTCAGTTTTTATAGCCCACCGTGTGTGGTCTATCTGAATGTGTATTTATAAATATATATATGTTTATACAAATTTCAAAATATATCCCTGACTTTGGATTGTCACGTTCAACGAATAAAGCTGAATAGCGACACTTTTAAGGCGTCATGCCTCGCCGGGGATTCGCCATTTTTTGGCACGTGGTCCCAAAGTTGGGCGATACGTGTTCCACCTCCTGGGGAAGGGTTCTCTACTCTGCTACTCGGCGAAAGGATTATTTGTTCAATGCGGGAAAGGAGCTTTAATCATCCTTAGCCACCTAATTAGAAAGCAAACAAACAGCGCTTTTGGGAGCTTCTTTAATTTAATGAAAGCGCCGAAATATGCAGAGTTGGCCATAATATATACCAGAGTGCCTGTTGTGAATTATGGCTGTTTTATATTGCCATTATGTTGTCTGGCTTTCATTAAAATAGTATCCGTCTGCGAGCATTGCATTATTGTGCAGACTCATTAAAAAAACCAGAAAGGAATACTAAGTTCGGGAGAGCCGAAGTTCATATACCCTTGCGGTTAAGATTGGATATTTATAAAAAATTATAACATTTTTTTTTTAAGTTGTTGGCGATATCTTCTCCAATTCTCATCCGATCCTCAATCGGAGTACCTTAAACGATTTCTGGATCGATTCTCCACCATTCTGCATCAAAATCCCGAGACAAAATATTTTTTAGATTTTTTGTCCATTTTTCGTGGGGGTCCCTTGAAAATGGCGTTTTCACTATATGGCCCACAATAATGGCGATATCTTCTCCAATTCACATCCGATCCTCAAGCGGAATACCTTAAACGATTTCTGTATCGATTCTCCACCATCCTGCATCAAAATCCCGAGACAAAATATTTTTTAGATTTTTTGTCCATTTTTCGTGAGGGGTCCCTTGAAAATGGGGTTTTCCCCTATATGGCCCACAGTGATGGGGATATCTTCTCTAATTCTCATCCGATCTTCAAGCGGAGTACCTTAAACGATTTCTGGATCGATTCTCCACCATTCTGCATCAAAACCCCGAGACAAAATATTTTTTAGATTTTTTGTCCATTTTTCGTGAGGGGTCCCTTGAAAATGGGGTTTTTACTATATGGCCCACAGTAATGGCGATATCTTCTCCAATTCTCATCCGATCCTCAAGCGGAGTACCTTAAACGATTTCTGGATCGATTCTCCACCATCCTGCATCAAAATCCCGAGACAAAATATTTTTTAGATTTTTTGTCCATTTTTCGTGAGGGGTCTCTTGAAAATGGGGTTTTTACTATATGGCCCACAGTAATGGCGATATATTCTTCAATTCTCATCCGATCCTCAAGCGGAGTACCTTAAACGATTTCTGGATCGATTCTCCACCATCCTGCATCAAAATCCCGAGACAAAATATTTTTTAGATTTTTTGTCCATTTTTCGTGAGGGGTCTCTTGAAAATGGGGTTTTTACTATATGGCCCACAGTAATGGCGATATCTTCTTCAATTCTCATCCGATCCTCAAGCGGAGCACCTTAAACGATTTCTGGATTGATTCTCCACCATTCTGCATCAAAATCCCGAGACAAAATATTTTTTAGATTTTTTGTCCATTTTTCGTGAGGGGTCCCTTGAAAATGGGGTTTTCCCCCATATGGCCCACAGTGATGGCGATATCTTCTCACACAAAAAATTTTTTTTTCAATTCTCATCCGATCCTCAAGCGGAGTACCTTAAACGATTTCTGGATCGATTCTCCACCATTCTGCATCAAAATCCCGAGACAAAATATTTTTTAGATTTTTTGTCCATTTTTCGTGAGGGGTGCTTTGAAAATGGGGTTTTCCCCTATATGGCCCACAGTGATGGGGATATCTTCTCTAATTCTCATCCGATCTTCAAGCGGAGTACCTTAAACGATTTCTGGATCGATTCTCCACCATTCTGCATCAAAACCCCGAGACAAAATATTTTTTAGATTTTTTGTCCATTTTTCGTGAGGGGTCCCTTGAAAATGGGGTTTTTACTATATGGCCCACAGTAATGGCGATATATTCTTCAATTCTCATCCGATCCTCAAGCGGAGTACCTTAAACGATTTCTGGATCGATTCTCCACCATCCTGCATCAAAATCCCGAGACAAAATATTTTTTAGATTTTTTGTCCATTTTTCGTGAGGGGTCTCTTGAAAATGGGGTTTTTACTATATGGCCCACAGTAATGGCGATATCTTCTTCAATTCTCATCCGATCCTCAAGCGGAGCACCTTAAACGATTTCTGGATTGATTCTCCACCATTCTGCATCAAAATCCCGAGACAAAATATTTTTTAGATTTTTTGTCCATTTTTCGTGAGGGGTCCCTTGAAAATGGGGTTTTCCCCCATATGGCCCACAGTGATGGCGATATCTTCTTCAATTCTCATCCGATCCTCAAGCGGAGTACCTTAAACGATTTCTGGATCGATTCTCCACCATTCTGCATCAAAATCCCGAGACAAAATATTTTTTAGATTTTTTGTCCATTTTTCGTGAGGGGTCCCTTGAAAATGTGGTTTTTCCCTATATGGCCCACAGTGATGGCGATATCTTCTCCAATTCTCATCCGATTCTCAAGCGGAGTACTTTAAACGATTTCTGGATAGATTCTCTACCATTCTGCATCAAAACCCCGAGACAAAATATTTTTTAGATTTTTTGTCCATTTTTCGTGAGGGGTCCCTTGAAAATGGGGTTTTCCCCTATATGGCCCACAGTGATGGGGATATCTTCTTCAATTCTCATCCGATCCTCAAGCGGAGTACCTTAAACGATTTCTGGATCGATTCTCCACCATTCTGCATCAAAATCCCGAGACAAAATATTTTTTAGATTTTTTGTCCATTTTTCGTGAGGGGTCCCTTGAAGGGGTTTTCCCCTATATGGCCCACAGTGATGGGGATATCTTCTTCAATTCTCACCCGATTCTCAAGCGGAGTACCTTAAACGATTTCTGGATCGATTCTCCACCATTCTGCATCAAAACCCCGAGACAAAACATTTTTTAGATTTTTTGTTCATTTTTCGTGATGGGATCCCTTGAAAATAAGGGTTCCCTTATATTCGACCATAATTATGGGATATTTCGACCATAATTGTAATACCTTCTGCATGGGTATATTAAAGCATACCTTAAACAAACAAAGCAAAAATCGCAAAACCAAACCGGGAGATTGTTTTCTCTTATTCAACTTTAACCCAGAAGAGGTAAACAGATGAATTCCAAATGATAATCATAAAATTTTAATTAAGCTTTTATGTACATACTCTATATATGTATGGTACATAATACTTGATGCCCTTTGCCCTTCGTTGTTGTGCGTTTTGTGGCCAGGGTTATTGTTTTTTGTCTTCCTCTGGGTTGTCCACTCGATGATATTACCGTCGAGTGGCGCAAAATCGAGAGGAAAATGTCAGAAGCAGCTGACAAAGCTTATATAATCTCCCAGGCTTTTGCTTTTGAGGCTTTAAGTTCGTGGAGCCCATTTCGGGCTCTGAAATGGAATATTGCGCATACGCCGTGTTTATCAGCCTGCCTAATGAGGTATCAATAACGCCGCCTTTACGACTCAATTAACGAAAGATATTTGGATGAAATCAATGCCGCAATTCGGCCAAAAGCAACACATATTCATATAGATTATGACGGGGTAGGGACCATTTTGCGTTTGTGGCATCATAAATCGCCAAATTGTCCATATCTTTGCGGTCAGAGCGGGTAGATAACCCTCGGCCGTATAAAGAGAGTTCAGGGAACTCCTTTTATGACATAAATTTTAAAAAAATTTGTATGCATCGAACGTTGTGGGGGGTCGTATCCATGGGAGACGATTCTGCGGTCATTTATCTATGGCCACCCAGCCCACATATGTTATTGGTTTTTTGGGCGAAAAGTTTACCGACCCGCATAAATAATGCTGCTTATTATAGTCGCCTTTTGTGGTTTTCGCCTGACTATCGCCATTTATCAGTATATCTGCTTACAAAAGTCACAAAACCGTCGAAAAGTTTCAATGAACTCTTCAGTCAGTTAGTCAGTCAGACTGTTGTTGGCCAGCATCATAAACGCGGCCAATTCCTTGCTGTTATCCCGTCTCTTGGTCTCATTGATCTGACAGATGAAAGCAAGACGAGGCTCAAACACATCAACCCGGACAGATACTCCGAGGAAAGTCAATTATTTAATTAAAAGCTGTCACTTGCCACTGCTCAATGTAGCTGTTAATGTGGGCGTTGAAGCCTTGTCACCACACACGAGGGCAATGTTTGATGGTTTGGGATCTAGGGGTCTCCGATCTGGGGTCTGAGGGTCGGGAACTTCGGCAAACAACAGGAGAATAATAAAAGTGAAGTGACATCCTCATCACACAGGCATATAATTAAAAGCGCATA